GAAACTTAATTATAACGAAACAGAGAATTTACTAACAACACTTACATTAAGTAATAACTATTATTATATAAAAACACACATCACCAAAACACATTCACACTGAAACTTTCTTACTATCACACTTGTTCACTTACATAAATATTCAACATACATAATCAAACACAAATTTACTACTTGATTGTTTCACTTTTTAACTTTTTCTTTTTTTTCCAATATTTTCCTTGTAGTAAAATTAGCACAATAGTTACTTAGTCATTTAATGCGAAAATAGTCATAATTCCCGAGGGGTGGGTCCTGGTGATCTGTATTTCAGGCTATCGCCCCTTACAGACACCAGTTCCTCACAAAGTCGACAGGCAATCTTCTTTTTGTAAATTGTGTTTAGTCAATAAACATGTAACCATGTTCCTGTATTTGTGAGGAAAATAAATTCAATTTTTATTATTATTATTTCACCCATGTAAATTCGGTCCTATGTCACTTGTGTATGTAGCTTTTTGTAAGTGGAACTACAGAGGAACTATTCTGTTTGTCCTCGAACAAAAATTAGGAAAATTACATAGTGATCTTAATAATGTTGTTAAAATCGAATCAATGAATATTTTTGCATCAGACGCAGTATCCGGAATTACTCCGTTGCATTATAATTATCCGAAAATGGGTTCCTTTGCAGTCGTATTAAAACTTCGTTTATACACGTTAAATTTATTTTTCGGAAAAGGAGAATAGGCTTTGTATTGTCATGTTATTTCGTATGAGTACTACTCTGACTTTAGATGGTTATATTGTTTTTGTCCATCTTTCATGTAGCATTGAAGCGTAGTCATTATGAAACGTAGGTAGTCATTTTTTTTTTATGCAGTAGTCGTTTATTAAAGTATATATTGAAGCGTAGTCTTTTGTCTGCAAACAGTTGCAAAGCTGGACAGGTGACGTAAGTAGCTTTTTACCACGAAAAAATGTCTTTGTCGTGAGAAGACCCAATAAATGAGTTTCATTTAATCCGAAAGAAGTCGCGAGTTAAAACTAGTTTCAATTACAAAAAACAAAAGCCAAATTAAAAATATGAAGATTAGGAAAACTACAGACGCCTTTTTCTTAAACGAAAATAAAATAATCTAAATTCGGTTCAAATGAGGTACAATGTTTTTCCTTGAGTGTAATCAGAGTCACACGTTATGGGCTAGCTTTTTTGATGACACACGGGAAGCTGGCTCAGGCAAACCATGGTAATCTATTAGTCATTAGCTATTGCCTGCGGCTCTTTGTTTTCAGTCCTATGAAAAATACGGATCCCAATAATAACACTTATGGTTCTGTTATTAATATTATTTATTTAGGTTTGCCAACATTTGTGTATAATATTCCTTACTTACTGTATAATATTCCTTATTTACTTATTTTCTATTATTATTTTATCAAACATTTTGGTTTGTTTTCTTTTCGAAATATCATTTTTTGTCATTTTGTTAATTTCGTTTAACTTTAATAATTCAGTAAACAAACACAACCAAAAGCATTGATTAAATATGTAAATAATAAAAAATTAAAACAATACCAACAGATTCATGTGAAACACCTATAAAGCGTAGGTTTTAGCTACGACTGCAACGTGGGAGTTAGCCCCCTGTAGTTTCGTAGCCTATTCGATGCAAAACAAAGAAACAACCAAATCTTATTTCTGTATAATATTAGTATAGACTAGCTTCCCGTTACACTCTTCGCCCGCGTTATCCTGTATTATACCTACATATAATCCAGCTTTTTAAATCACTCTGTATATTGATGAAAATCGCATGTGTAGTTTCAAAGATCTTAGCGTACAGACCGCGGGAAAAACTTGTTTTACAGTATCTAAGACGGCTTAAAAATAAAAATATAATTGAAGAACCTTATTTCAAAGATATTTTTTATTTTTATTGGTTAACCATCCGATTTGTATAAAAGTTTATCGACTTATTTTTCATTTTTACTATGCTTTACGGAACCATTAATAATTATATAACAATAATATCTGTTCGTACTTATTTGAATAAATAAACGTAATTTTTTATCATTATTTCTGCTCGGCTGAGTTATTTTTTTGTAGTTAGAATAGACAAGTCACGGGCTTATGCATCGTTGACAGTTTCAGTGATTTTATAGGTGAGTTAGAGTATTGTCTTTTTGAATAAATAAGTGCATACAAAATATTAATTAATTAGTTCTGATTTTGACTTTATCTATGTTATTTTTGTTATACCAATAATAATGCCCTTTTTGATTTTAAAATGATCATTACTTAATAAATTCACGCCTCGTTTATAACTAAAGACAATAGAATGTCTTTTTTTTATTTTTTGACCTAACACTTGCTTCACACATTTTTAAAATTATATTCATATATTTTTTATTTTGTTTTAGATTTTTGATAAAATTATATACGACGCAAAATATCTTTAGTAAACGTAGCTAAGATTGAGTAATTTTTATTGTCTCAAAACTAACCATTCCTATAAAGTGGGCGCACGGGTTTACTACAAAATTCAGGATGTTGGCCGGTCAACGGGTATAGGGTTGTCATGAAGTTATTAACTATTTATCTTCTATATAAACAAAAATGTGTTGCTAAGCGCAAAACTTGAGAGCGCCTGAACCGATTCGACTGATTTCTATTTTGTTGTATTTGATGAAGTTAGATGAACTTTCTTATGAAGAGAAAAAACTTACCAAAATACGAGGAAAATATTAAAAACAACAATTTTCCTGTACTATGCGAAGCACTCTGTCTAGTGCTATCAAAGAAATGACGTCAATCAAAGCAAAATAAAGACGGGTGGATCCCTTTTTAACTTAGTTTTATTTTCCATAGCAAATCTAAATATTTTATTTGTGTATCTATTTCAAAGAGTGACATTGTCATTCAATAGCATTATAGATACAAAAGATAACATTAATCGGTAAGAAAACCGAACGAATTTCCGTACAATACCTGTATCAGAAACTATGTCTTGTTATCTTGATCACACACAAGTACGACTATAAAACTGTCAATCCGCACTAGATCCGTATGATGGGTTATGGATGAACCATTCGCCCTATACTGTTTCGATTCCATTCTCAAGGAAAACCTGTGATCCAGCAGTGGAGACATTAATGGTCTGGTGACAATGATGACTGAATCTCTGTATCCCTATTATTATTAATTTATTTTGTTATTATTATTGTAAGAATGTTGCCAACCCTAGAGTGCTATACTGGTTGACAGGAAACGGACCGAGGCGTATCGGATCCGCAGCGCAGTTGAAAATCTAATTTTAATGGCCTTGTAATTACGCTTATATTACTAATCAACAGTTAGGTAGTGGAGGCCGTGATTGACATTGATACCCGTTTTTTTGCCACGGCCAGCGAGCCGTTAGCCGTGGGACTCGACAGCACCGGTGCAAATTACAAAATGATTTGCTTGTTGACATGTTGAATTGTTAATACTTTTTATTGGATTGAATTACAGCGATTAATAGTAATACATTTTGTATATTAATATTTTATTTAAAGAAGCACTGTCACCTGTCACTATAGAAAGTTGATAGTAGTGCTGTATGTAGATTTTTATTCTAAAAAGAAATCAACAACTTTAAAAATTTTAAAGTCTGACCAGTCAGCTGCGCAAATGTACATTAAAATTATTATTACTTTAATCCCACATTAATCATACAAATTTTCAAATTTGCTACTTTCATTAGAGCTTAAAGTCATCATTAAACATTAATGAACATTTGTGCAATTGACTCACCGTATGAATATTTAAGATTTAACGAATACATATTTTAGATTTCGTTCAACCAAATAATTGTTTCGTTTCGATAAACCAACTTCTAAATTTCGTTTTGATAAAAATTGTGACTACCTATTTCCACAGAGGATTACACTATCAATGACGACTCTAATAAATGTTATAAATTTTAAAATTTGTATCGGTAATGTTGGTAATCGGTAAAGGAGGTAGTCAAAGCAACATCAACAGAGGGTAATGTCAAGTTCAAGCATGACTATCTCCAGCATCATGTACTATTTAATGAAAATTTTAATGGTTCTGGTGATTGTCTTAAGACTTTTTTTGGTAGATTATTCCGTAAAGGAAAGGCGAAGGGAGCTAAGCTCATACAGCTATTGTCTGTTGTAAAAAAAAAATATTCTATATCATAGGAGAAAATAGGCTTTAGCCATGTCTTTAATGATTCAATAAATAAATTTCAACAATATGCAGAATAATGAGCCAATTATCTATAGACCTTTTGAATTTCTGGAATAAAAAGGGACTCTTTTTCAACAATGTCATCATGTGTAACAGGACTTTATGTTTATAAATTTAAAAAAAAATATGATTTTACGACAATCAAATAACTATTTTATATGAAAAATTAAAAACATGGTCAATGTATCCCACTTTCTAAATTCACACAACGTTTTACGCATGTAGTTTATGCGAGTATATTTTAAATGCCAGTGGAAACATGACGCTGTAAAGTTAGGTAACAACCATCAGAGGACATTATTTAATTGTAAAAACAAAGTTGTTAAGTCCAAAAAAGGGAATGTAATTTAAGAAGTTACAATATCGTTAAAAGTAAATACTTTTTTATAAAAGTTGTAAAAAGTAAGATTTTTGGATTAAAACCAGGAGCGATTTTGCATCCGATCTTGGATCTTTAGATTGGCGCCGAAAACTCCAAAAAGGCGGAAAATTAAATTCCAACACCAATGTATTGCATTGTATGGGATGTTCCTCATATTAATTAATAATTAGGATGTGTGGATTGATTCTGTTGCCTTTAAACAACTTATTTACATACAGTATGAACACAAGTATGAAGATAAAAATCTTCAGAATAACCACCCAGTGGTTTTTATAAATCTTAACAAGCCAGTATTTCATAGCAGTTTGGCTGCTATTTGCATTAAATTATCTATCAATATCTTCTTTAAATGAATTAATTCTAATTGTTTGTTTGTTACAGTTGCTGTCGATGTCGATGACCGCCCCGTTCGTGTAGAAATCTGTGATACTGCTGGACAGGTATGTAATAATATTTTTATCTTTATTTATTTTTTATATCTTTCATTTTATATAAGAATTATTGCATCTGTTCATTGATGATTTTTGAAAATCATCACATTGTAATAACAAGCAATTGAATTATTCAAGCAAATAATTTAAAAATATTCATTATTCTAATAGAACCGCAGTCAGCATCTACGTTCTACTAAATAATGTTTCTACAATAAAAAAGTTTCGTCATTAAAAATAAGCACGTGCACTGCTATACATCAAACGCAGAAAAGTAATTCTATCAACAAAAGTAAGATCTCTTTTTGGGTACATTCCCACAGTTTCACAAAATGTTCGTCTACCTGGTGTTATGAATAAACTATTGTCCATGAGCCTTTGTTGAGTGAAATGTCATCAAACCGTGTTTTCATTGCAGATGTAATAATTTTATGCGTTCACACGAAAGCGTATTTGTTGAATTTGTGTAAAACACGTGTCTTATTACGATGTACTACTGTTAACTAAACTTTCCACGCCAATTATAATTCGTTATGATAACAAAACTGATACTTGTTACAATAAGAAATTTATAAGAGAGTTTTAATACTCGTGAGAGGTTTGCCTACTTGTCATTAAGTGGATAGCTTTTCGAATAATAACACTTTTTAAGATTATCAATCCATGATATGTTACTCATGTTACTCATTATAATGAAGGTATTGCATACTTACATCAATACATTATTACGGATTAATAATTATGTCCAAACATGACATAATGTAGTCATTCAAATCTGTTAGGTACCTAAATATTAAGACCGGAAAGACGGTTTAAGCTTTTGCCCTTTTGCCCACACTAGTTTTTAATATGCTCCGTAAACTGTTTTCTAATGCGTGCAATAAATAATTTATCTCTCTATCTAAATAAATATATAAAAGCAAAAATATTTTAACCCAATTAAGGTTATAAAAAGCAATAATATATCGTCCAAGATTTTTACCTACCACTCATTCAGGACGTCTTTTGATTACAGAAGAAAGAGTGCTAGAAACTCAAATGCTTTTAACAATAATAATGAAAGCATAAACTTAAATCATTGCCAAAGTAATATCAACGTAGATTAAAAAAATCTATCATCTCATGTCACCAGTACTATTCTACAAAAACAGTCTCGAAATCGAAGTCACTTGCAGTGCTGTCAAAGATATTTAATCAAATAAAATCTATTTCAAAAGGTAATAAAGTTTTCTTTAATTGAACCTTTATGCTGACTAACATTATTCGTATGCAATCATATAGGTATAGAAAGACAGGTAAGCGGAAGATAACGTCAAAACATCATCATACTGTCAGGTATAGCCAAGTACGGCAATCGTATTGAATATGGTTCGTTCGATCAAAGCGAATGGTGTTATTTGGCTTGCGCAATCCACATCGATACATTAGGCAACCAGAATTTTGCTTCAATTGTTGGCTCTCGGCTTGTCGGCGGTATCATGCGCCCACTTTCACCTATAGCCACTACCTCTACATCTACAGCTCTCTAAATATCCAGTTTTTGTTTTAATACAATATTTCATTGCCACTTACGTAATTTCTCTATTTAAATATTATTGTTTTCGATATTGTTAGTTCTTTATGATGGTATAACCAATCGGATGGTCGTTGGTCTTCCATGTGGGTCGAGTTTAATAGCTTTGGTTTCGTAACCGTCTCTGGTCGCCGCCATGCCGTCTATAGCGGTTCTCCTATTAGCGTTTAAGTTTGAAAGTCATTACTGACTTGTGTCTACGCCATATTTTAACGATGACGGAATCATATTGTATGCTGACTTGCTCGTTATCTACGATTGCATAAGAATTTTCGTAGATAAGATAGAACTTTCTCTTGTGTACCTATTCAATATGAATGAAATAATTTTGGTACATACAAGGGACATTTCGAAGGTATTTAAACGTGTTTTAATGAAAATATGGCAGTTTATTCAACACTTAACAAGAATTCTACGTCTATTTGGTTAAATTGCTTCAATCTTTTTACAACAATAAACTTTTTAGGGGCAAACACATTTATTTATGGAGGGAGTTGGGGTTTTTCAGGGGGCTTTGTGTGTTGTATGTATCATTATCTTGTTTCGACATCGCATTAATAAGCTCGTGTAAGGTCCCGCAATGGTACTCGAAAAGGGGACCCTTGACAATTTTCTCTATTATTGCTCAACCCGTCACGTATGCTTTGTACATTAATTATCAAGAAAATTAAGGCCCGGTCAAGTGTTCAATGCCAATAGTCGATTTATAAATATAGCCAGTTAGCTAAAATTTAGCCGCCCTACCGACCTCTCTGCAATTGGATAGTTTTGTTCACAATAATTATTAATTTTTTGTGAGTATGCTTGTGAACTAGAAACTCGAGTATAATTTCCTAGATTAGCAATAAAACAAAATGAAGTTATGACTTCATAAAAAATAGTTTTTTAGAATCTACAATACCTCAGAACTAAAAAGAAACTCAATCATGTTTTGTATTACTGACAATTAATATAATACAAAATTATTGACAATATTGTAGCCTTCCAATTTACCTGTTTTAAAATTTACAGCCCTAGAATCCATTCAGCCTGCTGGTGAAGGCACCAACGCACACTAACTATCTGCACATTATAAAACTTAAAAAAAAGTGTATTCCTTTTCCAGGATTCGATGTCCGAGCTTCGTGAGCTATGCTACCCAGGCACGGACGTCCTGCTCCTGTGTTTCTCCGTGGTGCGACCGGAGACGTTCCGTTCTGTAGCTGAGAGGTGGACACGCGCTGTGGCGGGTGTGAACGCACCCCTCGTGCTCGTCGGCACACAGTCAGACCTCGCCCGGGATACACGCGTGCTGCAGGCGTTGCGAGTTAGTATTATATCTACACCTTCACGTCGTTGGGTGGATTTTGGCCACTAACTCCCTCTTGGCCCCAGTAGTTGGGACATAAATAGGTTTTCCAACATAAAACGATGTTCTGTAATAAAACCTATTAGACATACTTATTACAAGACCGAGATAGCATTTTTTCTGACGGACTCATTAACTTCAGCCAAATGTGTTGTAAATTCAAAAACAGAGAAATTCCGAAAATTGCTGCAAATATTATAGGTATATACTTGTCATATATGTGGTTGATAAGATGGAATTTCCTATTTTGCTGGGTATTCACAATTTCTTCGAATATCCTCGTTTTCCATATTTTAGAAAATGGGAAATACGAGATCAATTAAATATCGAACACAATAAACAAATCTTACCACTTTACTTTCATCCGACGACAATTTCCGAGATAAATGTTGAGCTGTGATTCCATATGAATGGGTTATTTTAAAATATCTACACGTCCTGTTTAAAGCAATACTGTAGGTGATATTTGTAATATGGGTTATACCGCCTGTGACCAGAGATAAGGGGTGCACGCACGCATCTTTATGTCGGTAAATAATATTGTTTGTTTCGTTACGCATAAATTACGCACAGTTATTGTTTTTATCTCGACACCCAAAGAGGTTGGTGTGAATAATATACTTATTTATTGGTAGGTATTACGTGTGCTTTTAACAATAGGTAGTAGGTGGACATTTTGTATTTTTTATAATAAGATACGTGAAGATATGGATAGATAGATAATAAAAAATATCCTCAAATCAGTGTGTTAAAATTTGTAAGATTTCGTAGATGACGGTATTCAAACATTATTAAGAGTGTATGTAAAGGTGAACAGACAACAAGGCGATGATAAAGTCAATGGTATAGAGAAAAGGATCAATGTTGAAGATAGCAAAATTAACCGTCAAAACAATTTGTAATTTACGATTTTGTAACATCGCCCAATATTAAATTGACTCGAAGTGACTCATAAGTATTTATAAAAAAGGAATACTGTGTAGTTTTTTGTCGAGAAGCTTTTGATCTGCATCGAATTAAATATAAGAATATAAATGTAAAAGCTGTATAAATGTAAGAACTTGATACAACCTATCAGATTATTGTATCAAGTTCTTTTCCATTCCAAGAAAATACGAAATTAGAACTTAAAGTTGTGATATATTTATATAGTATGACAAATCGACAAAATATGATACTTAGCAAATGTAAATATGACGCATTTTGCACAAAATGATATAAAAGTGCCGCTACGTAGAATTAATTATATTTCAGTGAACTTTTTCAATATGTAATAATAAATAGTTATGTTTCACATTTCGTCATATAAAAATGGTGGTGTCTTTCAAGACTTTATTTTTGTTTATTCGGTTTTATCTTAATATATTTTACAATAGTACATTAGGCACCTACATTTTTAAGATAGTTACCTATTTACAAAACTCTTCCAAACCATTATTACATTCAATCAGATCCGTGGAGTAAGAAAATGTAATATACTCGCGCGCAATGATATTGGTAATTAACTATTGTGGCACTTACTTGGCATAACCTACTTCGAAAGATCTTAGTCTGCCTTGGTGGAACATGTATACCGTTGTTTTTCTATCCCGATTTTTAATTATGCCATAAAAGCCAGGCCCGGATCCACAGCATTTTCCAACTGGAGCAGAAACTAAGTATTACATCCTAGCAAATAATATGCAGTGCTATCTAATATATAATATAAAATATACGTGTCACAGTTTCAATTACAATAGTCTTTATAAACGGCTTGAGCGAATTTTAAATAATATAAAACCTACTTCAAAGGGTATACTTAAATAATGAATGATATTATTGTATACACGCTGCACGTCGGATTAACACAATATGTCAAACCTCAATTGATTTTGAACCCTATCTATAATATATTAATGTTTAAAATGAAGTGGAGAAATTTGCCAATTTTGTATAGTCGGGCCTGTTTGTTTGTTTTATCGCATTGAAGCTCTATGCTGTGAAGAGCACTGCGCTCAACAACGAGTTTTTAACAGACATACACTTCTATTACAGACGTACAGACAGAGCATATTATATATCATTACAACAACATTTTATACTTATACATTTTTAATTATTTATAGGCACGTGGTGAACACCCGGTGACGGAGATGGAGGCTAAGGCATTAGCTGCCAAGATTAACGCAGTCTACGTGGAGACATCGGCTAAGACTAGATGCCAACTGAAAGACGCCTTCGATGCCGCCATTTTGGCCGGCCTGCCTGTCATACAGGGCAAGAAACCTTTTTGGAAAAAACTGTTTTGCATAAATTAAAATAATATTTTTTTTCAAAACAGAATTTCGATATTTTCTTCTATTTTGTACTGATATTTACTTAAAGTGAGAGTACCTAATTAATAGGTATAATACCCTACCTTATTCTCTATACTTATTATTTCATTAAAAAGGGTTTCTTTTTAAATAATACCTATGTGCCTTATGTACCTATTTGTGATTGAGATTATACTGAAGTTTAAATATGAAATTATAGTTTCATAAGATAACGTTGATTATCTCTTATTTTATGATGGTATTCACACAAATTCTAATAGAATTTGAAGTATGAATAACGCAACTACATACTTATTTTTGCTTTGTTTGTGGTTGATAATAGACAGCTTATTGGATTTTTTATTTAGTGGTGAACTTTTTTAACTCTGTCTAAATAGATCAATTAAAAATTGTAAAAATACAGAGCAAGTATTACATAAAAATCTACAAAATTTTTATTGTTGTATTCTAATGTACCTATCTAATAAAATAATGATATTATGACTATGCCTTAAAAGACAAGATTGTACAGTAGAATTTAATTTCCTATTATAAACATACTATTATTGTCTGTATAGCTAGTTGTTTTACTGTGTGTATATAAGTAATATCGATAATGTTAAAAGTTGTTTGATACTCAACTGAACTGATAATTATATTTTATTACAATTCACTCTGATTTTCATTTTTAACATAATATTAAACATACAAAGATTAGATATAAAATTAAGAATTAAATTTTTTATTTAATTATAGGTTATAATTATGCCAGAAATGCTATATAAATAATTTTAATAATTATTTTTCATATACACGTTATTTTATAGTAAAAATCGCCTACCCACGTGTGATTTACGCGTCGCGGGCAAAATTACAATTTTGGCATAAATGCACAACCAATCGCTCTTTTGGCCAAATAGGTTTATGAATAAACCTTAAAGCAATGTAAAAAATATACGCTTGCATATTTATTTAATACTGATTTATTTAAGATCCATAGATAAATCTATTTTTTGTACTACAATAGAAATCGGTTTTTATTTTATAAATAATATATTTTACATGTTATCGACATAATATACCTAATATGACATAATATATTTTTGCATTTGTCTGTTTACGAACAGAAACAGAAAAATGATCTTGTTATTTTAAATTCGCTTGCTTTAAAAACGGTTTATTTAAAAATGTGGACGAAACATTGAAACTTAAATGTCAACGATTTAAAAAAATTACAAACAGAATAAGAACATGGATTCTTCTAAATGCACGGAGCAAATGTAAATATAGGAGTCTACCACTCTCAGTTTTCCATTGTGCAGAAAAGTAAACTTCCACAGAAGACATCTGTATTTACGTGGGAATGCCTTGGCTTACTAAAAGCTGTCGAGTATGTTGTTCTCATGAAACAAAATAAATCAATAATATTTTCTGATTCAATGAGTGCTTTACAAGCCATTGATAATTTTCTGTTCCGTACAAAATTATATAATCCACTTGTGTTTGATATGAGAAATAATCTTTATAAATGTGCTAAAAAAGGGTATCTGGTAGAATTTGTGTTGTTTCCAAGTCACGTGGGAATTCAAGGTAATGAGAAGTCTAATCAATTAGCAAAAGAGGCAGTACATTGTGGAGACATGTTTCCTTTTAAAAATTATACCCATAACTTGTTGTTATTACCATTGTGCCATTTGTGTAAGGAGTGGCAAACTTATTGGACAAATAGTGGACAAGTAAAGGGAAAACATTATTATCAAATACAACCTAAAATTATGATCAAACCGTGGTTACGTAAAATTAAGATCAGAAAGACTGCTACTAGTACGAGGGTCAAACTGAAAGTTCTTAGAACTGGCCACTTATAAACAATATAATAAAAAAATAATTCTAAAATTTGAAAATATAACTCTTTGCCAATATTACTGAGTATATATTTCATTCATTTGTCATTTGTTTTACGATTTGGCGGCAAATTGAAAATTGTCTGTGTCACGTCATCATGAATTTAACACGAGAAAATTTTCGTGCAATGATTTTTTATGACTTTCGATGTCATTTAAGTCAACAAGAAAGTTATGATATACTACGATTGGCCTTTCACGATGAAGCCCCATCTCGTGCGACTGTTTACAACTGGTTTAATGAGTTTAAACGTGGTCGCACTAATCTCACTGATGATTTACGTGAGGGACGGCCTTCTACGGCGACGACTGAAGATAACATCTGTGTTGTGCGGCGTATGATAGAGACTGACAAAAGAGTGACCTATCAACAGATTCGGACAAGCTTAGGCATCGGTATGAGTCAAGTGCACAAAATCCTCCACGAACATTTAGCGGTCAGGAAGCTTTGCGCCCGGTGGATACCTCATAATTTGACTGAGGCTCAAAAACTCCATCGTGTGGATTGGTGTCGTAAAATGATTGAAAGATTTAACGGAGGTGACTCAAATGCTGTGTTCGACATACTAACAGGTGACGAAAGCTGGATTTACTGTTATGATCCTAAAACCAAAAGACAATCTGCTCAGTGGGTGTTTCCTTTCGAGGAGTTGCCAACTAAAGTGAAGAGAGATCGAAGTGCGGGAAAAAAAATGGTGGCCTCGTTCTTTGGAAGGATAGGTCATTTTGCAACAATTGTGTTAGAGGATCAAAAAACAGTTTCTGCAGAATGGTACACTACCAATTGTTTGCCACTTGTCTTGGAAAAAGTTCGAGAGAAACGACCTCGCAGTAGGATCCTCCTTCACCACGACAACGCCTCGTCGCACACCGCCAAGCGAACGATCGACTATTTGGCGACATCAAACGTTGAATTACTGGGTCACCCGCCGTATAGCCCCGACCTCGCGCCTTGTGATTTTTATTTATTTCCAAAAATTAAAGAAAAACTTAAAGGAAAGCGGTTTATGAATGCTGAAGAAGCGGTGGCTGCGTATCGCGATGCCATTGAAGAGACCCCTAAGGACGAGTGGGCAAAGTGCTTTTCCCAGTGGTTCCATCGCATGCAGCGGTGTATTGACGTGAATGGACAATATTTTGAAAAGATATAATAAAACTAATAACTGGCTAATGTAATCAGTTTTTGATTTTCTAAGAACTTTCAGTTTGACCCTCGTATTTTAATACGCTTGAGAATTGGTCATGTTAGTACATCAGCACATCTTACTAAGCTGGGAATTGTTAGTCATGCTTCCTGTAGGTGTGGGTCGGACCACTGTGATCTTGACCACATATTGTTTTCTTGTACACTATACGATCGATCCGAATTCCTAAAAAACCTCATATCCTTACGTGTTTCCTTTCCCACATCTATAGTTTCTTTGCTCTCGTCTAATAACATATCAGTATATCAATGCATAGCGTTTTTTATAATGTCAAATAATATTAAAGTCTAAATATCATAATTACTTTGTATGTATATTATATAACGTATATATTTTATATATATTAACAGTGGCGTAGCTAGGTAATCTAGGGCCCTGTGGCAAATAAAAAAATGGGGCCCACTGCTATCAAATATAAAGCTTATCATCAGCTCTTTTTCGTGCATAGGCAGGTAATAAAACTATTAAACACTAACAACATAAATTACAATTATTTTTATACTTGGTGTAGGTATTGGGCAATAAACGAAATAGAAAAGATTCAAGGGTTTATTATATATTTATTTAATCATAGATACGTTGCACCAGTTTACTGTTATTTAACCTATCGCCATGCAAGCTATTTACAAAATTTATCAATAGAAATATTTGATCCAGAAGTACTTGCTGAAGGCTGACTAAAAAACTTGTCAATTTTGGGCAATTTTTGTTTACTTTCTCCTCTTTCTTAGCGTTTTTTGCGTTTAAATGCACCACCGGGTTTCTTTTTTTTGTCCATAATATTAGTTTTCTAATTTATTTATGCAATATTTATGTAAGATTGTACTCAAGTAGGTACTCACTGTTCACTGACAACGTTACAAATAAAAGGAAAGCGAAACGTGAATGAATGAAAATGATACGATACAAGGCGTCGTTGGGGAATCCCCGGCAAACGCTTTATCGCCGTCAGTGTTACTACATTTGACGGTGTGACGGACTACAATCAAATAAAATTGAACTTTTGTATGGACCAGTAAAAAAAATTTTATTGACATACGATTACTTACTCCTGATACAATAACTTTTTAACCATTCTCGAAAAAAAATCTTGACTTGAAGTTCACAATCGCGAATCACAAAAACGCATATCGATAAATAATAATATGCAGATATTGATTTCCAACAAATTGATGAAAACATTAATAACACTGTCAACCCACACAAATAATTTACGGGAATTCCTTTTTTACCCGACTGCGCGACGCAAAGGAGGGTACCTAATTATAACTTTGGAATTACTCACAACTGAGTTTTCATGATTAAACTCGAGTTGTCACCTGTCATTTTTATTTTGAAGATGGGAGAAATTTTCAAAAGTTGAGTTCGATTGAGATTTTCTGGTAAAGATTCGAGGGCCCCCTGAGCTTGAGGGCTCCGGGGCACTGCCCCGCCTAGCCCCTTAGTAGCTACGCCACTGTATATTAATATTCACGTTTCCTGATCCTATTGCTAATAATCTGTCGCAAATCCTATCCTTTTTCCTACCATAGTTTCCCTTCAATTAAGAAATTAAAATGTCAGTTTTTGTCATCAAATGCCTAAAAATTGTTTATTTTCTTTTCAACTATGGTGGGTAGCTATTTTCACCTAAGATTATCACTAGTTATTTAACTTGTATATATTCTTTATAATGTACAAAACCAGAACATATTTTCTTTACTACTACACCAACATTTCTCAAAATTATATTGAGGAAGTTATAATTCAAATAAATTTAAATTAATTAGATATTATAAGAAATATGAAATGTTAAGAGTGAAGAGTAGAATACACATATAATACTGCTCTTTGATATGTATAATAAATAACTTAAAAAGGCTTTTCAAGTTCAAACGCTTTTAAGCGCCGATTTCACTTCCCAATTTTTTGGCTCGAATGTACGATCCATCGGGAACACTATAAATTGAGAAATCTAATCGCTTTTAGAAAGTTAGGGTCCCGATATCGGGTGATCGGGCGTGCCCGATCGCCCGACCTCACTACATTAGTACGTTTGAGCCGATTTATTGGGCAATGTTAAGGTGCCAGAGCGCACAATCGGTTACAGCCATGTTGCAGCGCAGCGTGCGTGTGTGGCGTTAGTGAATGAGAAGGAGAAAATGTCTCCTCAAAAGGAAAAAATATAATTAAAACATATTAAGTATAATTCTGACACCAATAAACTATATTTCAAGTTACGATAAGTTTCCCATCGATAAAAATATTAATGTTACAGCTAATCGTTGTTTAGCGCTTACGCTTGCTCTAAATAACGTAGGTATCTTGCTATTGTATAAATGTCGTAACTAAATTTAACAGATGTTGAAATTGTGCAGGAATCATTCTAAGATAGTTTCTAAAATCTAAAAAACTCATAACATGAATGCAATGCACAGTTTATTTCTTAAAAGTAAATATTTACATTTTTATTTTTTTTTTTGTTTTATTTGTATAATCTTTTTAAGTAATGGCGTTGCCCTTGTCGATTTTGCCGACCCTTTTTTAAGAACCGACTTTGACCATGTCTAGCAACATTGTATATGACACTGACACTAATGACAGCCGGGCTGTCACTGTCAGACACCGTGCATGAACGAGTTTTGCTCTGTCTAATTTCGCGCGCAGCTGTTGTGTCTTGTTTATTTTTAATAAAATAAGAAAATAGTTTTTCAAATAATATAAAAAGTTCAAACTAATCAACGAGTGTGTTGCTAAGTGTCATAAATAATGGCTGAAGATGAACATTACACAAATGTCGACATATCGGATATGATCGACGATAGCGACCAGTATTTAAATGACAGTGAATATCAAAACACTGAATTTCCTAGCACCGAACTTTCTGAAGCTTCTGAGAAGTTTCTTTTGGCTCAAGATTCGGAAATTTTAAACTCTGAAGACCAAGTGTTAACGGAGAAGAAGCCTCCTATAACATCCAACAAAAGCGAAGTAATTCGATCGACAAGATTACCTATGGCTAGAATAAAGAATATTATGAAAATGGATCCCGATGTGAACGTTATATCTGGTGATGCAGTGTTTTTAGTTACTAAGGCTGCAGTGAGTATATTTATTTTACTTAAATAGAACTGCATTATCAATGCCTTCTTTTCTATTCAGTAACTGAGTTGTTAACCTACAATATCTTATGATCTCACTATTATTAAATACTTAATATAAAAGTTTTTTGATTTCAGGAAATGTTTTTAGAAACATTAGTAAAAGAGACATATTCATATACAATGACAAACAAAAGGAAAACGATAAATAAAAAGGATCTCGATTTGATTATCAATAAAGTTGATTGTTTATGTTTTTTAGAAGGTGGTTTAGACTTTTAAGATATTTGTTAACTTTTTCAATATTTAATGTTTCATAAAATAAAATCACTGAACAAATTCAAATTATTCTTTATTTTAAACATCTCTTATAATCAAATAAAATAATAATTCACAGTCAAAGTTTTGGTTTCTTTTGTTAGCAGCATTTCTCAATGGTTTCTAGAACTAGTGCGCAGTATCCTGAAACTTGAATGTTGGTCTTGGATATCATGCTTCTGTAAAATTAAAAGATTGTTTAAAATTAATGTTACAATAAGAATTGTAAAAAGATGCTGCAAATCAAATCTATTGGTCTCAGCTGTTTCGAATGTTTATACAAATCGTATTCTAAAAAATATAAAATTCATTGAACATAGAAATAGTACCTTATGTCTGAATTCTGTAAAACAGCATGGATTTGTCTAAAATTTTGGAATTTAGCTTGTCTTACCTTAATATATAGAACCCGTGAAAAGGCTGTATTTATATCCAAATAATTTTAAATATGCATTATTAATATGATAGAGCTAGTTTTTTGATATTTCACTATTAAAAATTCAACCCAGGTATATAATTTCCAATGTTGTTTCTCAAAAACAATATATTTTATTTAATGATAACTCGGTCCCTTTTATTCATTAAAATATCAATTTGTAGTGAATTTATTAGGCTATAATATCATGACTCATAAATTTTTTGGATCTTTAGTTTAAGGGTGAAGTTGAGGTTGGATGACATTCACCCCCAAGGTAATGGCACTAAGTCAAGTTTGTTATTTGTATCATTATAGAGCTACTGTACAAATTTCAATTTTTTTGATGCAGTTTTACAGAAAGCATAGGTGAATCAATAAAAATAAGTTTATTAGTCATTTTCTCCATCTCTATGAGATGATACCCTTTTTGAAGAGGACAGTTCACTCCAGATGCATTAACTCGCAGCATAAGAGGCAGGATTTTCACAGAGGTGAGGTCCACTATTTGGTCATCACCATATAGGTTCACAATGCCGACAACTCCAGGGCTATTTGGCACCAATCTGTCAAAGATTTTTTTTACTAGATTACCACAAACAATATCTGATTTTACCATTACATTTTTTCAGCTCAGTATATTCATTTCCACAATATCCCTTTCAATACTAAAGATTATTTGAATTATCTTTCTTTAAATAAAGGCTGTTAATTATCATTATACTAAATAGGTTACTCTAAGACATCATCAGCCTGTTAATGTTCCTACTCTGAGGTCACAAGTTTTCCCATAGATCTAATCAAATAGGGAGAATGGTCCATAACCTACCATGGTAGGATGCTAAGGCCTAGTTCTTATTGGTTTTATGTTTGCATATACAGCCGTGATGAATGGATAAATATGCCATCCAAAGCAAGACAGTAAAATACTTAAATATATGGTTACTTATATGCGATACTTCCACTTTAGAAAGTTTACAAGTAACCTATGTTTAAATCCAGTAAAAGAATGGGATATTACAAAATGACTACCAAGTTAATTTTTAGTACAGATGTGCTGTCAACTTTACCTACACATGATTTATTTCAATTACAAACCTTATGACAACAAGGATAGATTCCGAAAGCGCGTGGGTGTCTACATCGCCTTCACGAACTGCTCTAGTTTTCTTGATCTTGGCTACATCACGGTAAAACTGTAGAAGAAAACATGCGAAGTGAAAACAAACTTGGTATGAAATAGTAGTTGGTTGCGATATAAATACCTCGTGTTGTACAAAGTTGAAACACGAGTATAGAAATGCAGAAAACCTATTACGAGTATGTGATATAAAATCACCATATAGGTAGCTCGGTGGCGTAGTGGATAAGCGCCGCGGCCCGCGATCGTAGACGTTAAGCAACTTTCGCAAGGGTCGGTCACGGGATGGGTGACCAAAAATTATTATCTCGAGCTATTCCGTGCTTCGGCAGGCACGTTAAGCCGTTGGTCCCGGCTGCATTTGCAGTCGTTAATTTCCTCCAATCCGCATTGGGCCAGCGTGGAGGGTCATGGCCCATCCTCCTTAACCATCCATAAGGAAGGCCTGCAGTGGGGACGTAAAAGGGCTGGTGATGATGATGATATAAGATAGAAGTAATAACCCTTTGAATTGCTTACCCGATAGTGACTCTTCTCGTCATTTATTTGACTGGCGAGATTCAAGGTCTTGTAATTGTCCGCAACAGGTAGCCAGGTAACAGCACTGGTGTTAGAGAAGCCGGCGTGAGCTGAAGAGTCCCAGTGGTAAGGAGTCCTGTTTGGGTCGCGGGACTTTTTGTAGTAGTTAATAGGGTCGTCGGTGTTACAGGCCTGTGGATCTTTCGTGTCTTCCCAGGAGACGAATCCATCTGTCATACCGATCTCTTCACCCTGTTTTCAGTATTAAAATTAATACTCGATAGTTATGCTAGTATATATTTTCTGTTAACTTAATACCAGATATATTTTGTTGTAACTTGATGTGAAGCTTAAGGACGCAATAGTTAGAGAGTTCGATCTGCGATACGAATGTTAAGCAACTTTTACAAGGGCCTGTCATGGAATGTGTGACCAAAAAAATACTATCTTCAACACTTCCGCTCTTCGGATGGCACGTTAAGACGTTGGTGCTGGCTACATCATTCCAGTTAATATTCCAGTTCGTACTAGACCCGCGTGGGGATCATGATCCAGTCTCCATATCCAATTCCATTTGATTCTTTTTTTTTTAAAGAATATAGGAAGTTACTAGGGCCGGGAATATTAATAGGCTTATGGTTATGATGATGAACTCGATGAACTGACTTAGTACTAACAGCTAGATATGAAACGGATTGCTCTTTGGCGGGATACCGGACATGCAGTAAACCTAGTATCCTAATATCCAGCAAATAAGGTAAAACGTTAGCTGGATATCCAGATTCATAAAACGGCAATCTTTCATCAATCAATTGGTACATCGTAAGGCTGGACCAATGACGGCTTAAGACCTTGGACTGTACCCAGAACCCCAGAAGATTTAACATTCAAAGTAAATCTGATGGATGGGTGCGAGTGCTATATTTACCTGATACGTGATGGTGACTCCGGGTAAGAGGAGAGCTAGCATGTTCATGGCATCGACGCGTTCTGTGCCTTGACGTGACGCTAATCTACTTTGGTCATGGTTACCGTTCTAAAGGGGAGAAAATTTGCCTTCATACAATTATTACTACATTACATACACGAGGACGTCCGTAGCCGAATGGTTCGGACGCTGGTTCCAAGGTGTCGCAACCCCTGAGGGTTCGATTCCAATCAGGCCTGGGTGTTGGAGTACCTTCGTTGCCTCAGATACTCCATAATACGGAGCTTTAGCTTCTCATCTTGGAAACATATGTGATGTATAATTTTCACTACATTTTCAATATACAGAATTTATTAAGGTACTTTTATTATATAGTGCTTATGGAAGGAAAGCTGGTACTTAAGCACAGAGTTTTCTATTTTAAGTATCAGCAGCTTCTTAAGTTTTTTAATGCATAATAAAAAAATACTATTATTAAATAAACATTTATGTAATAAATTTACATATGTCTTTAGCATCTGTACCAAACAAGAAGCAAACGAATAAAAGAAAATATGAGCTTTCATTAACGATCTAATACAGGGGTGGACAACTTGTTTAGACCCAAGATCAACTTTTCACTGACGACACCCAGTACGATCTACCAATTAATTTACTATTGAAAATCTTAAATGAAACAGCATAGTTCATACACAATTATGTTTGATTTTATTTATATTTTTTGAATTACCACGATCGACTGGACTAATAGTCACGATCGACTGGTTGGCCACGCATGATCTAATAGAAGGGCTAATAAAAGTACCTAAAATCTCGTCATAATGCATATCATCTACTCACCACCCAATTCGCGGTTTCTCCATTAGGCATATAAGTCATCCATTGATCAATAACCAGTTTAATATCTCTCGCGTTAGATTTATTCGTCACGTTGCCTAAAAAGCTGAAGTTGAAAGGTATGGAGCCGTTTCTGTTCCCGTTGCCGTAGTACCTCATCATCAGGTCTATATCGGTGTAAGCTTCTGTCATCATTATTTTATACTCGCCATCTTTTGTGGTGTGTTCGTCGAGAAGGTCACGCCAGTCGTAAACTATATCGTATGTTTCATTGCGGTCTCTTGTGTAAATGTGACTTAGATATTCGTAATCGTCTCGATTAGCTTTAGGATCACCTGTTATGTGAATACATATAGAGGTATTTCAGATCATTCCAAGCTTCAGACTTCAAAAAACCAGAGGATCATTTCTGGGTAAATGTATTGCTATGTTCAATAAAGTTCCACAAAATGTAATTGACCTACCCATAAATAAATTTCAAATTCATGTAAAGAATATACTTGTGAGTAAAGGCTATTATAAAGTTGATGATTATTTTAAGGATCGCAATGCATGGAATTAATAGCCTTCGCTTTGTTCTATAAAGACTAATTATATGTTCAACTTATGTCCTACAGACTTTGAAAGTTGTATTTACTATTGTGATAAATTGATAATACATATTATTTTGGTAATGACATGATTTATGTAAATGTCATTACATATGATAAAAAGCTGATAAGTTTCTTTCGCTTGTTCTTCTTGTCAGCTAAAAGACGTCCTGAACAAGTGGTAGGGGAAAAAAGTTTTTTGGACGATTCAAAAGTGCTTGTAATAGCCTACTTGAATAAAGATATTTTCATTTCATTTCATTTCATTTCATTTCATTTCATTCAAGTTTAAGCTGTTAGTACTTCTGTAACTTTACAGCGAAATTTTATTTATTTTCATTGCATACGTGACTTAGAAACTAAATACATTTTCAGTTAATAATATACACATGCACCTTGATAGGCATGGCAATATAGACATACGGAAATAAGAGGGTCTTTTATTTTAAACTTTTCATTCAAATATTTATTTACTGTATAATAGCATTTATTTAATACAGTATGCTATAGCATTTTTATAAATCAAGTATATGTTTTTTCGTTCTTTAGATATTCAGGTTATTAATTGACATTTTATAAGTTCCGGAACTGTGTAAAGTTTACTTCGAAGGTTTGGATTAGGTTATTCTTATAGCGTGGTGTATTATGATAAGGATAATCTCTTAAGTTCTTGGTACCTTCTACCAAGAACTTAAGAGAGAATAACTAAAAATAAATTCTGCACGGATAACTTTTTCAATTTAATTTCCTACAATCGTTAAGAGTGAAAACTTACTTCAAGACTGTGATGTCTCTTTCCATTACAACGAAAAAAAAATACTCCCAAATAAATGTTGAAAAAGCACCAAAAATGTCACGTGAAGGGAAATATCTGTTCAAAAAATTGTCATTACATTAAGATAACCATCGAACCATATCAACAAAATGATGGTAATACCAGAGAGCGGTTCATCGGGGTATTCCCCACCGAAATCTTTTGGATCCACTTCGTACATCATGTTAATGGCGTCCACACGGAATCCAGACACGCCTTTGTCCAACCAGAAACTGAGTACATCCTGTAACAACCAAACTATTTGGTCAGGTTACGTATATACCTATATCGCGTACATCTATACTAATAGACTAAACGAAAAGTTTCTAACTTTGTTTGTTTGTAGAGAGCAACCCGATCATGAAAATTATTTCATCTACGAGCTACACAAGCTACATCATACGCGGATGTTATAGTCTACCGTTTACGTGAGCGAAGTAATGGTAAAACATCTTGTAATTTAATATTATTACTATACTTAAATAATTTGGTAGAACTAAATTCTTGGAATATAAGCATGGCTAGTCTAGATCGCATACGCTGTAGTCTGGTCACAAGTGTGCTTTAATTGGTGAAATACCGCAGTACTGTTACCTGAGCGCGAGAGTACATGAATCCCCGCATTTTTGGTGTCGTGCCCGGCTAAATCGGATCATACGCGACACGGCTCCATTTTTTTATTGTCTTTTTGTAAACCTCATCAAAACTAATTTTTTTAAACCAAAATAATTTCTTCATTGAAAATCCACCATTAGCTGTCGAAATGAAAGGAAGGCATGTCGACTGGCACACTAACTCAATAAGGAAACATACGTTCCCATGTAAATACGCATCGAGAGTAAAGACGAGATTGATAGATTTCATACATTTTAAACACAGAAAAAAATGCAGTTAAAATCTTACCTATAAAAACCTATTTTTGGATCATATATACCTATGTATATTGTTATATAGTTAAGATGAAATATATTAGTCGTAAAATCGATCTCATAACCTATCAAAAAACCTATTTACAGCATGTTGCACAAAAGTTCATTAAAATGTACATTAGTTTAAAGCGTCATTACCCATACAATTTGACATTCATTAGAGCTTAAAGGCGTCATTAAACCTTAATGGACGTTTGTGCAATTGACCGTTAGTCTCATTTTTTTCTATCGAGTCAATCACTGAAATTTATGTCTCTGTATTTTGCATACAATCGAGTATATGTCTAATTTTCATAAAATTATACTTATTTGACAAATATTAGCATAGTCTAATAATAAAATTGGTTTAAAAAGCGGTAATTTTTTAAAACCTAGCCTTAAGAGAAACTTACTTTCATCTCCTGTTGTACTTTAGGCTCGCGGTAGTTGAGGTCTGGTTGTCCTATCACGAACTGATGCAGGTAGTATTGCTGTCGTTGATCACTCCACTCCCACGCACTCTTACGGAATACACTCCGCTGGAAATATAACTTAGCACTAACAAATATTCTTAATATATAATAATGAAGGAATATATGATGGAAAGCAAACACGTAGTAACCTGCAAAACCGAACTGGATAGGTGATTAGAATAGAAAATCTTAATAGTTTTCCAAAAAAAAATCTTATTTCCGTATAAACTGACTAAGGAATAGCTTATTTATTACCATGTACGGTTATAAGAATTATTTTTGGAAAAAAAAAATTTTCCGCTGTGAAGAACAATTCTGGTTTTGCGGGCTACTACGTGTTTGATTACCAAAGTTGAAGCTGTGCACCGATTGTTTTAACAGGAACTATAGTTACCGATAAAGAGTTTTAAAGTACTGTAATTTTGAATAATAAAAAAAAAGAAAATGATGATTTAATAGTTCTGTCATAACGTTTTGTTCTAATTTGTAATATTAGAGCTAATGAATAATACGGAACAATATACATTACCCAGTTACTGGGGGGTAGTGTCGAGCCGGGGTTGGCTGGGTCTGGTTTACCGTCGGCCCACACGTAGTAATTTTCGTAACCTGGCTCACGATTCATAGATTTAATGAACCATTCACTTTCGTTGCCGGTATGGTTCGGCACGAAGTCGAGGATGACGCGGATACCTGACCAAAAAATGTTCTTTTTATAATCGTTTGTATTATAAATTTGCTTCATAATATACTATTATATTCTAGCGGATTAGATGATTTCCTTCCATATAATGTTCGACCCCTATTTCAACCCTTTAAGAGTAAACTTTCCATTAATTAATGTTAAAATATATTATTTACTTTTTATCAATAGCACAATAATAAACTTTTATATTCATTTCTTATTTCAAAATTGACAGACGTAGATACACACCTCAGGATTGCGAAAGATTATGGCCAAATAGATGAAGCATTTTTGCTATGATATATATATCAATAAATAGCATGTGAATGCAAAATTTAACAACATAAACCTATATATTGTGGTTGTTTGTCCACCATTAAAGACTTTTAAAAACGGTAGGCTTTTATAAACAGCAGCACTTAGAGCCACGGTAGTGCTTTGCCAAGATGAGCCAAACGAACAAGAGGACTACACAGTTTTCAAGTCTGATAAAAATAACTCACCGATCAACTTAGCCTCTTTCATGAGGTTGTCGAAGTCCTCCATGGTACCGTATTCAGGTGCTATTTTCCTATAGTCAGTGATGTCGTATCCGAAATCATACATGGGCGACAGATATATAGGTGAGAGCCATATCGCGTCCACTCCCGTGTCTTTCAAATAAGGCAGCTTCTCTTTTATGCCTGGAATATGGTGGCGTCATTTAAAGTAATATTTTATTAATAAGTATCAAAGTTTGCAAACAGGTGTTAAAAAATTAATATTATTCCGATAAAGCGATGAAGAAAATAGATTTTCCTACCATGTAAAATTTGAGTAATAGCTTTTTACGGGATGTTACCATATCGATAATAATAAGGAATATTGGTTGTCATCTTATTACTCAAACGTGTAAAATGAAATTAAGTTAAAAAAGAAATTACAAACTTTAAAAGTTTCAACAGTTCAAGGTTTAAAATTTTTCACTCTTATTTTTTTGTATCTCCCTTTCTACGCTGCTTATGCTAGATTCAAAAATAACGTACCATCTTAGGCCTTTATCAAATTTAAAAGTATTGTATTAAGAGCAAAATAAATAAAGGAAATCACCATTGAGATCACCAATGCCATCACCATCAGAATCCTTGAAGGAGCGTGGGTAGATCTGATACACAAGGGTGGACTTCCACCAGTCCGCCTCTGATGCCATTAAACATCCACACAATACTAGCAACACAACTAATGATGTTGCTATATGCATCTCTCCTAAACAAAGAACAAACAGAGCATTAAATCCAGCTCTGCCCTGCGATTATGTAAAAATCCAGACCCAAATTCGCATTCAGATTCAGAATGTCTGAATTCACGTCATTGAGTGTAGAAATTCTATCGAATCCATTTTTTGTATAGAAATACAAAACAAAATTGATTGGATATAAGTGTCTCGGATATTCTATACCTATGTCATTTCGAAAGTCACTTCACTTATGCCACAAAACACAAAATATTTAAATAAAAATACTTCTGAAATGTTTTTATTTAAATACCCATTGTATACAACAAATAAAACTTGGTAAATACAAATTAAAGAGAAAACTGCAAGCAGAGTAATCGAAAACACTTTATATATAAATAAATCTAATACCTATATCAAAGAAAAATATAATAGAAATAAAGACTGACCTCTTACAATGTTCCTCCTTCAATGTATGGTGAACGCCACATAAACTATTTTGAATAACTTTATTATTGAAGACGAAGCTATATAATGCTATTTTTTTTTCCTGCAGTTATCGCGAGTAAATTGCAAATGTGATTATTTTACCGCCTAACTGCGAACGCTTCATGTTTTTTTTTTATATGACAACAATTTAGAGTACTTATGTTATTATGTATATTTTATATGATGTCATGTTACTGAAGATTTGTCACACTGTCTGATCAAAAGGAACAAATACTATATTACGAATATTATAGGCTCATTGGTAAGGAAGAATGAAAGTATTCAGGCTTAAATTCTAATGAATTCAATTTAGACTCATATGACAATACTGCATAAGTAAGTATTGATAAATTAACAATAAAAGCATAAAACTATCTATAACTATCTGAAGTCATAGTTCAAATAAAGTGTTATAATATTTTTTATTTTGTTCAAAACAATTACATTTAATGTTAGCCTTTCACCCACGTAAATAATAGCCTATGTCACCAGCGTATGGTTTTCGTGTAAGTGAAAGAAATTTTCAAATGAATCTAGCAGTTTCGGAGCCTCTAAAATGCAAATAAACAATCAAATGTTTCCTTTTTATATTAGTTTTGATTATAATAATTTATATTTAACAGATTTGGTGTACATTTGTAAAACTTAAAGAGTTGTGCGCGCCACAAGAACATTCGAATAAGTAGCTCTTATTGTTTTTGTCACCGAGCCGATACTATCTATTCAATCTATTCTAATATTGTAAACAGAGGTAATGATTGTTTGAAGTTGTAAGCTTCAAAAATACTACACGAGCAACATAGGCTATAATTTATGCGGACGAACTCACGGGCTACTCATATATGTGCACAGAATAAGAACTCATGATATAAATCGCTCTAAAGATAGATAACGCTAACAGAAAGCATTCAGTGTGACAAATCCTTTAACGAAAAAACAATGGAAATCAGACATTTCCATGATACTTCATTTTAATGTGTGAATGTTTATTCAGTCAAAATAATGTTATCCGCCACTTCATGGTTTCTTATCGTCTAATAGAGGTTGATGAATATTTCTGTAGTAACATATGTATTTCTTAATCATCTGAATTCTTAATCTATCCACATAACTAATATTACAGAGAAAAACTTTGTAATGAATAGACTCAAAAACTACTCGACCGATTTAAAAATTTCTTTCACCATACGAAAGCTACATTATCCACGAGTAACATAGGCCATATTTTATTTTAGAAAAAAATTGGGTTCCGTAAGATATTTGGGTCTTTCGGACACAAGGCGCAAAAAAATCAATCAGAAAAGTTACTTATTTTGCGTTCGCTGCCTAAACTATAAAGATAGAACCATAATATTGTTCTAATTAATTGTAGATCTTATAAATATCTAAAAAAAAAGTTCGCGACACACTTTGCCTATCTACGTCGAGTGAGGCACAACAACAATTTTTTTTATACTACATTTAAACGCGTTTATTTTACGCATGCTATTAATCTTTATCAAAATATATTATTTCATCACTAAGTACACTTTATGTAGATTATATTTGGTCTTTGAATTATTAAAATTGGACGTTTGGTTTTGAAGTTATGGCGAAATTAAAATATCACAATTTCTGCTGCACGGCCCGTTGCGAAATGGACGTCACCGAGGCGGGGGTGCGCGCGCGGGAGGGGAATTTAGATCTATGAGTAAGGTACTCACGGACCTCACGGGCGAAGCCGCTGGCGGAAAGCTAGTTGAGAATAAAGGTAAGTTAAATAAAGCGTGTATGTATTCGGAAGATCATTTTATTACACAATATTGATTTGATTTCAGGAAAAGTTTTTAACCGATTTAAGACCAATTTTTTGAATAAGACATTGACGTGAATTACAACAACATGATCACTACCTTAATGCTAAAACTTTCACATTGTAAATATGAAGTATTTAGAATGCAACAATCTTAACTGTAAAAATAATTAATAGAAAAATATTATTTATGCCATTTGTACTTTTCGAAAATCAAAATCTCTCTAACACACAAATCTCTATATGTTAACACTTAAAATAATTTGTCACATGAGATTTTAATCAAGAGATTTCGAGATTCTTTTAAAATACATTATACCATAACAAAAATATTCAAGACAAAACTATTTGATGTTTCTATTAAATATTTCTTTAAACAATATCAATGTTTCGAGTTCACATTTTCGTCAAATAATTAAACATATATTTTTTTTATTATCATGTATTTTCTTCGTTATATTTACATAATATATACAACTCGTACTTTTGAGTTTCATCTATTATGAGTCTTTGAAGAATAGATTTAAATAATTTTGTATATTTTTCTATTTTTTTATTTTTTTATTTCAAGAATTTATTTACATCTCTCATATTTTTATGTTATTATTTGACAGTTCTAATAGATACCAACATCAAAGTTTTATCATTTTCTAGGACACTTATAAACATGTGAGTGTATTAATCTATATGAAAGGGTAGGTTGGCCGCTATTCTTGGCTTTTTCTTCTTTTGGGGTCGTGATGAGGACTCCTGACGTTGAGGCTGAACCTGTTGACGAAAAATGTATTTTATGTAGTGGTGTTACGACCCTTCATCGCAATATTAGTTATAATCTAAAACAATCAATTTTGTGAAAGCTGTTGACTTTCTTAATTTATTTTTAAATTTAGTAAAAACTGTAGATAGGACATTAACCTGCGGGTACAGTAGAATGAATATCAGTAGCAACGTTTTTATGTTTTTCTTTTTTTTTTTAATTTCCGATGGTAGTAGATTTAACAAGGGGAAAAGGAACGAAAACAATATAGAATTTCGTGCACGGATCACAAAAATTTCCTGTGAAGTTCGGGACCGGAGTAGCAAATGCTACGGTCCCCGCGAGTTTGGTAGCCTCGCTTTGATTCAGAGTCAAAAAAATATTTTTTCTTCTCCGTATTAAAAAAATGCAAGAAATAAAATAAGCCACGTTTCTGACTAAACTCATATTTTTTATGTATGAACATAATCTAACAAATAAAAATCAAATCACATATTATGCGTTGTATTATGCGGAAAGCAGAGGACGACTTTTCTATTTCGGCTGAAATTTTATTTATTCATTTAAATATTCATAAATAAGTAAAGATATTATATATATACACTCACGTTTTGATTAGTAGGTTGAGGTTGGGGATGTGTAGCCTTGGGGGCCGGTAACTCATCCTTCTTCGTCGATGGACCGCCCGTATTTTGAATACGTCTGTAAAAACATTAGTTAACTATGTAAACGCCCCGCGAATTATCTAAGATTTTTACTTTATTATAATCAGGGTTAAGAATATAAAAAATTAAATGACGTGAAAAAATACTTAATAATGTAAAAAAACTTCATAGTGTGAAATAATACTTATTATTAAGTAAAAACCGTTATCTACCGTTTCTGTTATATTATTTATAGATATATTTCAGTTATTAACCCTAACCGAAATGAATTACCGCAAATAACCCGGGATAACCGTTTAATATAGGTTAACAGTTTCAATTACTAACATATTTAATTCGGTTAAGACTGTATTATTTTTTTGGTTTAAACAAAAACATTTCTTTTAACCGAATCAATGAATGGGTTATTCGTTCTCTGATTATAATATTGTTAAGGAGCGCAGCGGCTCGATGTTTCGCCTGCTTGGTACTAGATGACGTTACGTATAATTTGAATCGCGCTAGCACAATCGAAACTACATGTATTATTTAAAAGTCACATAAGGACGGCCACTAGGGGAAGAACGAGATGGGTAGCCGATTTGATAATACGGCGAATACACCGGTTGAGCCGGGCCTCGAATGTTCTAATTTCTAACTTGGAACAATCTAGATGCTGGTAAAATCTACCGCGGCCGCTATAACTACAAGGCAAGCTACTCGTTCCGGCATTCTTTTAGTGACTAGTGAACTGAATACGAGAGCGATCGAAAGCGAAATTCGAAGCGTTAACTAATGAAGTATTTGGACGATCTAGTAGTGTGGTGAAGTGACCGTAGTGACACGAATAGTGAAGTGAAAGTGGGTTTTATTATTTTTGTAATTCTCATTGTGTACATAAAATGTCTGATTATGAACGTCAATTTTTATTCCGAACTCTAGTTCATAATAATATTATGTCAATACAGTGGACCCGCGTTGATCCGACAGACGTTTTGTAGGGCGAAGTCGGATTATCACTCATCACCAGCCCTTTTACGTCCCCACTGCAGGGGCTCAGGCCTTCCTTATGGATGGTTAAGGAGGATGGGCCATGACCCTCCACGCTGGCCCAATGCGGATTGGAGGGTATACTTGTAAGTTATTTACATTTGGAAATAATAATGTTCAAAAAAAAAACAATTAAATATGTACTTAAACTGAATGATTCACAAGCAGTGTTTAGGCTTTCCGATATTTTTTTTATGTTAACACGGTTGCAAGACCATTTATCACATATGTCAAATCTCTTCAATTTATTTTCTACTCTGAATGAATTAAAGTATAAAATCAAGAGGAGAAATCAGTTTTGTATAACCTGTGTTAAATTAACAGTGATAGGCGTGTCGGATTACAGAGGGCGCCGGTTTAGACAGGGGCCTGCAGAGCGATTCCGTTAAAATTCCAACCCGAATTAGAATTCGCTCAGGTGTCCGAATTTACTTCGAAAGCGACATCCGCTTAACTTATATATATTAGTGTACAAATGCTACCGATTAGTTTTTTTTTTATAAAAATACCAATCTTGTTGATTCATACGTGTTTCAGTATTCTATCCCTGTCATTTAGAAACTCACTTAAGTTACGCCACAAAACGTTAATACCAATTTAAGGTTAAGCGAATGTCGCTTTCGTAGTGAATCGGAATCGCTTTTCATTACTGCAAGTCCATTGTATTTGCAATGGAGACGTGTAGTCTAAAGGCACTAACCTTCGACTCGTCTGTACTTGTAGTGGTACGAAGGGATTGGACAACTTCTCTACACTACTCGGAGTAGGAACCGCGTTCGGCTTACTTGATGGAACTTGTTTCGGCTGAAATTAAAATAGATTATTAAAATTGAAGCCAATATAAAATTTGTAAACACCAGAATAAAATTGGCACTCGATCATTTTTCTCGTTAATGATAATGTTGATTGTAAAATCTATAGCACGGCATATTATTACAAAAGTTCACTGAAATCGATTATAAGCTTTAATGCTTTGAGAGTTAAGTTCAAAATTGTTTGCAGAAATTTAACCCATTGCAGTAATCGCACGTGTTGCATTACATTCAATCGATAATCAAACCTGTCCCTCTATTCTGTAACTCTGGCAACTTCTGAGTGGAAAACCGAAATAAATAATTCACAGAACTCTGTGGGCAATCGGTCATCGGTTTTGTAATCTTTATTTTCTCTATCTTCATTTTTTAATAAATCACTAATCCCTATCCAATAAGGAAGTATTTAAAAAAAACTAAAGTACTAAAAAAGCTCACAAAAAACTAGAGTAATGTGATTTTTTCAGTTGTTATTCTTACGTTTCTTCTATGTTTTGCTTTAATGCAATGAGGAAGTATTTAAAAAAGAAAGCACTAAAAAGCACCTCACTAGATGGCGACTCTAGCAAAAGTTGATTTTTGCATGAAACGATTGTACAAAAGACAAGTCATTTCCGTTCCTTTTAACTAACATATTAAAAAACTGAAATTTGAAAAGTTCGAAACTTAGATATGAATACAAATACGAACTTTTTCGTAATAAATACAATATGAGTTGTTAACTGAGTTTTGAAAAGTAAATTACTTTTAAACTTCAAAGAAAACCGGAAAGGTTGTCATGGTGAAATCAAGAACGTACCGTAGCGACATCTAGTTTGATTTCGGGAACAAATGTATTTTTTTTAATACTTCCTCATTGCTATATATATTAATCTAGATGAAATCACTCATTGAAGTTCACTTTCATGTTTACGAAATAGGAAATATTCCAAGATAAATAAATAAAAAGAATAAACAGTTTACCAATATAAGATCAAGTGTCAAAATGGAGTTCAATGGAGATCGCCGATGTTGATATTTCAAAATTGCGAACTATTGATAGAAAATACGAATACGTGATTATGAGACATTGGAATTGCTCACTGTTTTCGGTGATTACAATTTTACTTTAGAATGTCAATTGAGTTAGGGAATAGTCCTGTAGATTGAACCGACGAAGGTTGGAAATCTAATTTACCTGCGCTTGGACCCAGCTCGGTCCTAATGTAATGTTGGAACCGCTAACATTCGGCAAATGCTTCGGGAAACCTTGGTTATGATGAGTGCGGTTGCTGAACTGGTTGTTCGTGTACTGGTTTTGATTCTGGTTGCGAGTGTTCGTCTCATGGTTGCCGTGATGGTTCTGGTTGCGTTGGAAGTGAGGGTTCTGGAACGGCACGAAGGGTATCTGGTTGGGCACTGGCCCTTGGAACGGCTGCCCGAAATTGGGGAATGGAGGGATAGGGGGTTGATTCTGAAAATATAAGATATATAAAGTAACTGGAACTGCTTTTTATAAGTCTAAATTATATATATTTTTAATTTACAATAAAAATGTTTTGTTACCGTTCGACATATTTCAACCAAATTTTCTCAATTTTTTGTACTGTAATAAACTAATTAAACACAAATGAAAGTCCTGTTTGCAGTAAATTATATAATTTTTAATTAAAAATTTATGTGTAAATTACTAACATTAAAAATAATAAAACATTCCCAAAAAAAAAAACATGATAATATAATGTTCGGTGGGTGAAATATATGTAAAAATGTTTTTTATTTATCTGAAAGAAGAAATAAGTGTCGGGTAGCTCAATAGTCAGAGCAGTCGACCGGTTTGCGAAAGGTCGTTGGTTCGACTTTTTTTTTCTTTAAGATAAAGATTAATACAGCATTTTGAATACAAAATTGTTCAAATACAAAAATTAAAGATGTACATGTTAAATGGTATTCACTTATATGTAATGAGCAAAATAGTGTACACACACAATGTTTCTCGCAATCTAATTGTATTAGTATGACCATTGTAAAGGACATCGAGCCGCGTTTCAACAGCAGCGCCACCAGCGGGACCACAGCGAAACCTTCCCCTCCCCGCGCGGTGCGGGGTAGCATACCCCCACTCTGCAAAATCTTATAAGATAACTGACTAATATATGAGCTAAGTGCGAGCAAACAAAATGTACTTAAGTGATCGGGTTTTTGCAATAAAGCATGTTCTGCCACTGAATGTTCTCCGTGTTTTCTCCGAACCAAGCGTTTTATTTGCGACCTCTGCTACCTACCTGTTGATAATCCAGCCTACAGTCCATCTGCTACAGTTCGTGGTCCTACGACGCCGGATCAAGAAAGTCTGCGATCCTTCTACACCGGATCAAGCAAGTGTCCGGATCTTTCGGCATCAACTCAAGAAACGGAATATTCGAGAGTTACGAAGCCGCTACAATGGTGAAGACGCGTTCTCAAACCGAAGAAGCGCCGATACGAGTGTTTGAGGAATCACCTAGGTCTCCATCGGCAATAGATATACGTCTCGGTACAGAGATACGTCAAGATACAGAAACACGTCAAGGTACAGAGTCACGTCTCGGTACAGATATACGTCAAGGTACAGAGTCACGTCTCGGTACAGATATACGTCAAGGTACAGAGTCGCATCACGGAACGGGAATACGTCACGGTACGGAGTTACGTCATGGTACAGGAGCGGGGGGAGGTCAATCGATCGAAACCACATTTCAGCCCCCCGCTCACCCGGTACGTCTCGTCGCCCGTCCTTCTCAGGACGCGGGACACGAACGAACGAGACAAACCTCGCCTGCTAGATCCCGCCAGTCATCTAGCAGCGTCGCGGCTCGCATCCGAAACATCCAGCTAGAAGCCGAAGAACGCCTAGCCGAGATAAAGCGACGAGAGTTCGCTATGGAAGCGGACCTAATTAGGAAGAGAACCGCCGCAGAAATATCGAACATAGAAGAGGAAGACCAAGAAGAACGGGGTAGCAACATCAACCCTAACGACAGAATCGACGATTGGCTGCGACAAGCCGCCGAGCCCTCCTCCGAACCACTAAGAGAGACTGCCACTCCGGGACGCACGGTGCCCCCCCACGACGAGAGCACCATCCCTGTGCGCACTCCGCAGACCCCGAGGCTGGAACGGGGGGAGCGACAGGGCCACGCAGCCGTTCATTTCGAGCGTCGAGTACGGTCACCGACGCCGTCACGCCACCGAAGAGGCATCGAACAATTGGTCGACGCGTTCGACAAGATGACCCGTAGCGCACGTCCAGCGCCACGTCAAGTGACGGAGCTGCCCATATTCACAGGCTCTGTGAACGAATGGCTGCCGTTCAAAGCCGCCATGAGGGAGTCGTCCGCCGCCTACGACTTCACACCGACTGAAAATATGGCCCGCCTTCGAAGCTGTTTACGAGGGGAAGCGCGGGAAACCGTCACAGGTTTACTCAGCACCGCCGCCCACCCGGATCAAGTTATGCACGCCCTGGAGCAGAGCTACGGACGCCCGGAGTTCATCGTGGACAAGACTTTGGAAGATATAAAGCGTCTGCCGCGCCTAGGGAGTACCGCAAATGAAGTCAACGCCTTCGCCGTGAAACTCCAGAACATCGTCTGCGTGCTTCAAAATTTGGATCGACGAGGCTACCTACACTTCCCAATGTTGGCAAGGGAGGTATTGGAGAAGCTCAGCCCGCTCCTGCGAACCCGGTGGTGCGATTATGCCAGGCAACATGAAGATCAACGCGAGCCCGAGATCGTCATGCTGTCAAGATTCCTGACGGAGGAAGCGGACCTCGCGCTGCGATACACGTACGCCGTGCACCCTGCGCCGTGCACGACGACTACAGCGAGAACCACCAAGCCGTCTGCAATTTCCACGGCCCACGCCGCACCCGTGAGAAGGAAAACGAAAGAAAACGTCTACACTACTACCACCGCGACGCCTACGTCGCCATCGCCGCGGCCACCCGCAAAGTACGAATGCATCGTCTGTGAAGGGGATCACACACTACCGAAATGCAAGAGGTTCGGCGAAATAGACAACGAAGCAAGATGGGAGATCGTCAAAGCAGCGGAGATCTGCTTCAAGTGTCTCGAAAATCGTCATCTTCGACGACACTGTCGAGCGCGAGCGTGCGGCGCAAACGGATGCCGCCGACCGCACCATCGCCTACTTCACTTCGAACCCTATGGCGCGACGAGTGAAGAGTCGAAGCCGAAGCCGAAACCGATCGCTACCGACGAATCCGTTATGTCGATAGACACCGCCGCTAATAACGACCGAAATGCCGCCGCCGTGCTGCTGAAGGTGGTGCCCGTCACCGTGACCGGTCCGAATGGGAACGCGGACACATACGCGCTGCTAGACGAAGGCGCTACTGTGTCACTCATTGAAGAGGATCTGGCTAAGAAGCTCGGCATGAATGGAACACTGCGGCCACTACACATACGGGGCGTGGCAGCGAACCGTCGAGTGAACAGCGAGATCGTCGAGGCTATGGTCGGAAACAAGAGCTCTCCCGGCGCGCATCGAATAAAGTTACGCACCATCCGACAACTGGTATTGCATAGCCAGTCTGTACCGGTCAGCGTGCTACAACACCCACATCTATGCGGATTGGACCACAACGACGTGTGTTACGAGTCTGCAAGACCGCAGCTGCTCATCGGGGCCGACCATTGGCATCTCATCGTGTCACGCGAGATCAAGATGGGAAAAAGGAACGAGCCCGCCGCCTCCCGCACAGAGTTGGGATGGGTGATCCACGGAACGATGCCGCGCGTCATCTATGGGCAAGACACCGAAGCCATCCTGCATGTCTTCACGCCGATCGGCGACTATTGTGGAGATGACGGACTACATAGGATCGTCGAAGAACACTTCCGGATCGACGCGCTCGGGGTATCCACGACGACGAAGGTTAAGGATACGGATAGAAGAGCCACGGAGGTATTCGAGGCAACGGCGAGGCGAAAAGATGGACAGTTCGAAGTGGGGCTGCCGTGGCGCGACGATGACGTCACCACCCCACCTAGTTACAACGCGGCACTACGGCGACTAAGGAACGTCGAGTGCAAGTTCAGAAAGGATCCGAGTTTCGCCGCTAGATACAAGAAAGAAATCGAAGCGCTATTAGAAAAGGGCTACGCGGCACTCTGCGACGGAAGCGAAGAAGAGAGCCCTAGAAGGTGGTACCTACCACACTTCCCCGTTTACAACCCAAATAAGCCGGGAAAGGTGCGCCTAGTATTCGACGCCGCCGCGAAGTCGCACGGAATCTGCCTCAACGACTTACTACTGGAGGGGCCGGACTTGCTGCAATCGCTGCAAGGAATCATGTTCCGGTTTCGAGAGCGTCCAGTCGCGGTCACGGCGGACATCCAAGAAATGTTCCTTCGCATCCGCGTGAGAGAGGAAGATCAGCCAGCTCAGATGTTCCTGTGGCGGGACAACGCGGATGAGCCGCCACGCAAGTACAAGATGACAGCTGTAATCTTCGGGGCATCCAGCTCGCCGTTCATCGCGCACAGCGTGCGCAACCGCAACGCAGATGACTTCGCGCTCACCCATCCGGTCGCGCACAAATCGATCACGAAGAACCACTACATGGACGACTTCGTCGAGAGCTTCGAGGACGTCTGCACAGCGAGGCGCGCGGTCAACGAAGTGGTCCACGTGCACGCGCAAGCAAACTTCAAGCTACGAGGTTGGAACTCCAATTCGACGGACGCACTAAGGGACGTCGAAGAAGGACTGCGACAGGAGAGCACCACACATCTTGCGCCGTCACCGGACAAGACGCTCGGCCTGCTATGGGACGCCGAGAGCGACCACCTGGGGTTCAACACGGCCCTGCACCGAGTCCCGGAAGAAGTCGTCGAGCGACGCCGACCGCCTACAAAACGAGAAGCATTGGGAGCCGTCATGTCCCTATACGACCCGTTGGGACTACTGAGCCAGTTCACCATACGAGCGAAGATACTTCTTCAGAACCTGTGGAGAAAGAAGTTGGACTGGGACGAGCCACTGCCGGAGGACGAAGCGAATGACTTCGACGGATGGCTGCACGAGTTACGAGAGAACGTAGCGCAGCTGCGCCTACCACGCTGGTACGGCGCGGCGAGGCGCAAGGAGCTGCACGTATTCTGCGACGCGAGCGAGCAGGCATACGCCGCCGCCGCCTATTGGAGACTGGAAGAAGACGATGACATCGCCGTCGTGCTCGCCGCCGCTAAATCAAAGGTGGCACCCTTGAAGACTCAGAGCATACCGAGACTGGAGCTACAGGCGGCGGTCGTCGGCGCACGACTGGCCGACACCATCATCACCGAGCACGAGTGGGAACCGGACAGCGTTACCTACTGGAGCGACAGTCAGACAGTCCTCCATTGGATAAGAAACGACGCGCGTCGCTACACGCCGTTCGTAGCGCACCGCCTGGGGGAGTTAGCGGAACGCACCAGATCAAAAGACTGGCGATGGGTCCCCACCGAGCAGAACGTGGCCGACGACGCGACAAGGACCAAGCGGAAGAAGGTGACCGCGCAAGACAGATGGTTCATCGGGCCAGCCTTCCTACGCCAACCGAGACACACATGGGCGAAAGAAGAGTGCAGGAAAGAGGACGAAGACATCGAAGTCATCGGCTACACCACCGAGGAGCCGGAACCGTGCCTTCCCGACATCGGCCGCTTCTCATCATACGAGCGGCTCATCAGGACTACCGCATACGTCCTATTATTCGTCGACCGGTGTCGAAGACGCGCTACACGTCTCGAAGTCCGTCACTTAGAGGAAGCCGAACGAATATGGATAAGAAGAGTGCAACAAGATAGCTTCGGCACGGAGCTGAGAAGCCTACGCGATGGGAAGGCTGTAAATAAGTCGAGTCGACTTTTCAAGTTGGATCCCGTCATGAGAGACGGCACACTGCGCCTAAATGGAAGGATACGCGCGGCAAAGGTGTCCGCCGAAACGAAGGAACCCGCTATATTAGACGGCCGACACCCATTTACCCGCCTATTAATCATGAAGAAACATAGGATGGCGAATCACGGGGGGAGGGAACAAGTTGTCAATGACCTCCGCCAACAATACTGGATATTACACCTCCGGTCATCGGTACGGAAGGTGGCACGTGACTGCGCAACGTGTCAAATAAGGAAAACTCGACCGAGGACGCCGGTGTTCGGTGACTTGCCCGCTGCGCGAGTCGATCCATATCACCGGCCTTTCACCTACTGCGGAGTCGACTACTTCGGGCCGATGCTCGTGAAGATTGGACGACGTCGTGAGAAGAGATGGGGCGCGCTATTCACGTGCCTCACTACCCGCGCCGTACACCTGGAGCTCGTGGGGTCATTGTCAACCGACTCAGCGCTGCTGGCGTTGCGACGCATGGCTGCGCGACGAGGTTGGCCGAAGGAGATGGTCAGCGACAACGGCACCAACTTTCGCGGCGCCGATACCGAGCTACGCACCGCCTATGAAGAATGGAAGCCCGCGCTGGAAGACCTGGGGCTGCAGCGCCGCATGACATGGCGCTTCATACCACCCGGCGCGCCGAACATGGGAGGCGCATGGGAGCGGCTAGTGAGGTCGATCAAAACTGCCCTCACGGCCGTCCTGCACGAGAAGGCACCTGCCGAAGAGCTACTGCAAACCCTACTGATCGAGGCCGAGCACAGCGTGAACAGCCGGCCACTCACACATGTCTCCGTCGATCCGAGGGATCCGGAGGCCATCACCCCCAACCACTTCCTGTTGGGATCGTCGACGGGTCTGCCACACACCGGGCCCTGCGAGCCAGCCGACCGACGGACCTGGCGAGCCAGCCAGGGCCTCGCCGACGAATTTTGGAGAAGATGGGTGCGAGAATATCTGCCTACACTCGTACCACGCCAAGCCACAGCCGCACCAGGGGAACCGCAGCCGCAGCCGGGAGATCTAGTCATCGTCGTCGACTCAACACTGCCGCGTAACACATGGCCACGCGGTATCATCGTGGCAACCTACCCGGGACCCGACGGCCACACACGGAGCGCCGACGTCCGCACGAAGGGAGGAGTGTTTCGACGCCCTACAAGAAAACTCGTTGTCCTTCCGAGAAGCGAGGGCTGCGCCGAGGCTACGCCGGGGGGAGAGCTGTAAAGGACATCGAGCCGCGTTTCAACAGCAGCGCCACCAGCGGGACCACAGCGAAACCTTCCCCTCCCCGCGCGGTGCGGGGTAGCATACCCCCACTCTGCAAAATCTTATAAGATAACTGACTAATATATGAGCTAAGTGCGAGCAAACAAAATGTACTTAAGTGATCGGGTTTTTGCAATAAAGCATGTTCTGCCACTGAATGTTCTCCGTGTTTTCTCCGAACCAAGCGTTTTATTTGCGACCTCTGCTACCTACCTGTTGATAATCCAGCCTACAGTCCATCTGCTACAACCATAGTAAACAGTAGTATCACAATCCAATACCTTTATTTATCGTTTGAAAAAGTATCTTATTATTATACGACCTAATAATTTAAGAATCCGAAACACCTGAAAAAATATTACATTTACATAAATAATAATAGTTTCTTGTTACTACGAATCCACGTTGTTATGAAGTAATAGTGATAGACGTCTTATTTTTTTTAGCATAATCAATAAATTACACTGATAAATCGAGTTGTAAATTCACCCTTTTGTAAATTTTCTACATAGCTGTGACGTAGCGAGTCCCTACTACAAAACTTTAATGCCTGTCATCTAAAGTATTTTTTGTTAACATTAAGCAAATATAAAATACGTATCTAATATTTTTGTATTATCTGATTGATGGTTAAATAGAATTTATATTTTTTTAACCTTGGCATCATCCCAATTATCATGTCGGAACCTAGAAACCAAAAACACTCAGATCAATCTGTTACAATGCTGCTTGGGGGCACAGATCTTCTCTATATACAGAACCAAATCAAATGAAAAAAATGAGTCACGACGTTAGGTAAAGTTAAAATTTACTGTATCTCAATTATATTTTTCTCTCCTTATTTAAAGAGTGATAAAGACAACTTTTATATTTAAAAAATACGATTTAAAGTGCTTTATTAATAATATTTTACCTTGAAATTAGTGTTGGTCCATTCGTTTGGCAATTGTCCCTGTGGCGGTTTTATATTGGAAATTTCTTTTCTCCAATTCTGCTGCTGTTGCCCTCTAAATAAAATAATGGGCAATCAAATATCACAGTTTTAATATACAAGCAGGGGTGATGTATGAGAGTTTATATAAATTATATAGAAATAGTATGAGGCTATTTTTTACATAATTAAGTTATATGTATAATTTTTTTTTCTAAATTTAACTATTTTTAATAGGTAAATTGAAAGGAAATTAAATTACAGAAAACAAAAGTAACCGATTTATACTAATATTTAAAGAAAGATTTGATTGTTTGTATCGAATAGACTGCGAAATCACTGGACTGATTTTAAAATTATTTTACCTAAGGGAAGCTACACTATACGCGGCTGACATAGGCTATAATTTAGGCGGACGAAGTCGCGGGAAACAGCTAGTAAGATATAATAAGATAGTTTTGGTAGTGATGAATAACTCAAAAACTGGACAAAAATGCCTAAAAAATTATGTTGATATTAACATGGATATTCCAATTTTGAGTCATAAATGCTTCATCATACGTTTTACATTATATGGAAAACAGTTAGTTTTATACTAAAATCGCAGGAATTTATAAAACATAACGATTATATTAAACTGGAGCGTTGGTATTCTTAATAAAAATGCTTAAAACAACAGAGATGAGATTGCGAAAGATCATGGGTTCGTGTCCCACAGCAAAGTGGATTTTTTATGAATATTTTTAGTACAGCATTGTGAACTCAAAATTCATGAAATATAATTATTATTAAGTTACTATGAAATTGTATTAAAAAAAAACACTCAATTAAACCTTACCGATTAAACAAATTCCATAACGGTATTTGGCTGCATGGAACACTGATTTAACATAATTTGATATTAATATTTAATCCATTCATAAATACTTTACGGCACTTATTAATAAGTGAACTAATTAAATAAGAGACCCAAAAATATTAAATATCTCTAACCGACGATAATTTTCAAATTGTTGCCATTAAAAAAAAATTGAGTTATCATCAACCCTTTCACGTCCCCCCACTGCGGGGGTTCAGGTCTCCCTTTTGTTGGTAAAAATGACATTTTACAGTAATTTGATGAGCAGCTGTTTATTCATTCTTTTAGTTCATTCGCTTGGGGATTTATAAAGTGTTTTCAACTAATTATTTCTCATTATTAATAAGTCCTGCTATAAACAAACTTAACATTTTTCCAATGTAAATGACTTGTTGTGTATTGAATTTTTTTTTTTATTAATTGCAATGAACTTACCTTGCCATTTGTGGTAGTGGAGGTTGTGGGATGTTCTCGTTTTTCTTTCTCCAATTTTGATCAGATTTACCCTACACAATGCGAAATATAAACCACATAATATTTAAATTAATTATTATACATATTTCAACAATTTATTAAAATAGAGCTTAGTCTATTGCTTAAAAAGGTAGTTATGCTACATATCACATAAAGGTAATGTGTGTTAAAGATATACAAATTATAAATAAACAGATATCTTTATAGAAATCTGTCTAGGAGATTAATGTCGAAATTCCGTACATAGTAATCAAAGCTTTATGTATGAATATGAATCGCCGAAATGTATATCCGAGCATAACTCCCGAACGACTGCACCAAATTGGATGATTCTTCTTTTCGTGTCTTCCTTATTTTCAGTACAATTGTATTGTATTTAAAATATATATATATTTTAGAGAAATAAAATATGGCGGTACAAAGTTCGTCGAGTGAGTTAGATATAAATGTTTACCTTATTATTGTTCTTTTTGGCATCGTTATCTTCACTAATCTTTAGCAGACTTCGGAGTAGATGGGTGGCATTTTCCTATTGACAATATTACCATAGATTATTAATATTATGAATAAAGCTGAAACTTAATTTACCTCCATAATCAGGGAGTTGACATTATTTCAAAACCTATTTTAAATGAATTTATTGTGTTATAACCAGAGGTCGGAATTAGGTAGAGTTATTTATGTACTTGCATCGAAATGTTGATATTAATATGGACCTTCCCGGGATTTCTTTATTTCTTCTTTCTTAATTTCTTTCTTTTATTGATGTAAGTTTGGCAACGTCGTGCGTGCAGTAGTTTAAGTTGTGTAAAAGTAAATAAATTTTTATTTAAAAAAATCACGGGATTTTTTCTGCTCTTTAAAATTAATCTCGGGATTCGAGGCATATCCACTTTATTCTTTCGTGGATAAGCGCCGCGGCCCGCGATCGCAGTCGTTAAGCAACTTTCGCAAGGGTCGGTCACGGGATGGGTGACCAAAAAATTATTATCTCGAGCTACTTCGTGCTTCGGAAGGCACGTTAAGCCGTTGGTCCCGGCTGCATTTGCAGTCGTTAATACCCTCCAATCCGCATTGGGCCAGCGTGGAGGGTCATGGCCCATCCTCCTTAACCATCCATAAGGAAGGCCTGAGCCCCTGCAGTGGGGACGTAAAAGGGCTGTCACTATTAAAACCGTACACTACATCAAACCGTAAAACCGTATTCCTGTTTAAAGCCAACTCTAAATGCAAATAAAACGTATTTATTAATAACATTTAAATTTGACGCATAAACGCGGCAGTTTGATGTATGACGAAACTATTTAAACTGTCAGACATATGTCGGGTAGGTCGATTGTCGATTCATTTTGAAAAAAAGTTGATCTATTAATTCATATAAATCGATACGAATTTGGTATATTTGAATTAATATTTTAATGTTATTTTATTTGCGTTAAATATCTTTAATAATTTTCTCTTGGAAATGTTTTTAATATCGCGATAATCGAAAATCGATAGTTAAATGTTGATTTTATCGAGACAGAAACCTGACTTACCGATTAGAATCAATTTATTCAATAATTTACCCACAACTCTATTGTCAATGTCACACACATGCAAATATCTTATTAGTCAAAATGACTTAACCACTGCAAAATATAACTTAAATCGATATTCAAAAAATCGTGAATGTCAAATATAATCTATAACATAAATTTACCTGCGATGTTTCTTTGTTCGAAGAAGTGGCAGTGCTTTCTCGAACAAATTGTATTGGCTTCATCTCCGTCGTTGGTGGGCTAAAAAGAGAGAGAAAATAATGAGGTCTCACTTTAACAGCCATTTTTCTTTCATGATTAGAGAAATGTTTTTATATTTTTAATATACATAGTCTTCTTATAAGTTTATTATTATTGCTCGATTGAATACTGTGTGAACAGAAGCATTGACGCATCACTGAAACACTGATATTGACGTTAGCCGGAACTGATATGTGGGAACATACATATGTGCACACTAAATGTAGAGGCGGCCGCTACGGGACGGAAAATTTGGTAAATTTCGATTCGTTTATATAATTTTCAGTGCCGGATCTAGGGGAGGAGAGGGTGGAGGCAAGTGGAGGCACTCGCCCCAGGCACCTAAAAATAGTCTACAGAAAATTATATTACTTAGATTACATAAAAAACTAATAATAGTAATACTTCACCAAATTTAACACAAACATTTTAGTTAACTTCAATTAAATTACATTTTTTTTTATAAACAGAAGAATTAAGACTAATTGTTGAACAAAAATATATTAATATTATTCTTTAACAGACATTTCTTAAAATTTTCTGTTAATTATCTTTTAAGTTGGCAGCTGATAGTCTGATGTGAACGCAGCCTAAGCCTTTAGTTTGACTGACCTGTAGCTAGCGAAAGCCGAATGGTTTCCGTCACGTCGCAGCAGAGTCGGGGCCCGAGTGAATGTCTCCGGGGCGCAGCTGATGGAGTTACGGAGCTTACGACCGTAAGATATATTCAACATATTGGTCGGCAGCATTCTGTATACAACAATTTAAAGGAATCACTTAAACATCAATTATATCTGCTTCAATCGATAAAAATGAAAGTAAAATGCTACATGAATTGCACAGTCAATATTTGTAGTAGCATCATAAATCTATGGATTTTTTCTTTGATGGTCGAGAGTAACTTTCTCTTTTTATGTGATTTTTTCAGTTGTTATTCTTACGTTTGTTCTATGTTTTGCTATATGCAATGATAAAGTATTAAAAAAAAAATGATTTTTGCAGGAAACGAATGGACCAAAAATAGTCATTTCCGTTTCTGTTAACTAACATATTAAAAAAATTAAATTTGCAAAGTTCGAAATTAAGATATCAATACAAATACGAAAAAGTACAAATAGAATATGAGTGGTTTATTGACTACTGAATATTAATTTACTTTAATACATAAAACAAAACCGGAAAGGTTGTCATGGAGAAACCAAGAAAGTACCGTAGCGACATCTAGTTTGATTTCGGGAACAATTTTTTTAAATACTTCCTCATTAAAGTGAATTTTATTGAAATGTTTTTATATATGCATCGCTAGTTGATCAGAAATATCATCATAAGAGCCAACCGACATCTTACATTCATTGAATGCCTAGAAAAGTATAATTCACTATCGAAAGATATTAAAGATATGAAATAGCCCAATATTTTTAAGAAAATATTAAAAAGTTAAATTATATCCTGTATTAGAGAAAAACATGTGATCCCAAATCTTATAACATCGACCACACCATCATTCTTTAGCGAGAACGCAATCTTTTGTGTCGATTGTCTTAATGAGAAATTAAAATATTTAAACCGAAAATTTTTCATTGACACGAAGGAAATAAGAACAAATTTAAATATAAATAATAGGAAACACTTTTCTTTTTCTCATACAAAATGCGGGGAGTTATTTAACACAGAAAAATCAGCTTTTTATTTAAATTAAATCACATTTACACACTACAGAATTGTCTCAAATTAGTTTTACCTGTAAAACCTTGGTTCTTCAAACAAATCTTCTGTCATAGCACCAGGGAATGGTTCGTCGAACATTACCTGGAGATGACAATAAAACATATCTTAATTAAATAAATGCATCGTATGAAAACTTAATGTTTTTTAAACCAATTTAGTTATTTATTATAAACAAACTGGCCATCTGTTGGTACGTCACATATTTAAATAAAGATGTTTAATACACTTTATTCCAACTAGAGTTCTGTCTGCTACATAACAAATTGTGTAAAAATTACATTTTCAATACTATTTACCTCCGTATAAACTAGAATATTGTCGAATTATTAGGATGCAAAAATATTTCAATGAATGAATTAATAAATATTTAAAAGAGACAAATTGTAATTATTTTGTCATCTACTTCTAATACAGAAAAAATATTAGGATATAAAGTTTATCAGAATTTGTACATCTTTACATGAAAAAAAAAAAATGTTTAGAACCCCTGACGGAAGTAGGCTTGCATTTTTTGTCATGTAGTAATACATCAGGGGGGACACTTCCATACAAGTGACAGTTAACATTTTTACTAGCGCCATCGTAAGTATTACCAGGTAAACTGAAACGTGATTATAAGTTTAACAAGAAAAATATTTCGATGATAGAAGCCATCATAATGCGTTGAAAAGTATACTACACAGACAGTTTTACAGAAGAACAAAAAATTAAGATAAGATTGTAGAATCGGCATTAATCCTAGTGGTATTGAAACAAACATTTTATTATTCTATCTACCTATGTTTAATTTAATTTATTAAAATTTCTAAGTGGATAAATAAAAAAGTCATATATTATGTCATTTATATAAATATTGACATGACCTACATCGCGTTGACACAATCACACCATCTAACGAGTTTTCAGTTAAACCAATATCGAGAGAATGGACTCTCTTTTCCCTATATATATACTTTACTCTTTGTATTACATCCTCTATTGTACCTGGTAGGATGGTTCGGCGTTAAGCTTATCCGACAGTCGAACTGTGTTGGGTGCGGGCGGTTGATATACTGCGGTGACTGTTCCCGTCGCACCTATCGGCACAGTGATAGAGCGAGACACGCATACCACACGATCGTACATCTTGAAGTCCGCTTTAGGATCCGGCTGGATATTACCCTCGTGCAGTTCCGGCTGTTACGAATAATTACACTGTTACCACATCGATAACGCTTCATAATTCGATTAGGAAAGTTAAGCTACTTTCTCAAAGGAGATGGGTGATCAGCACCTGAAGCCGTTAATCTTTAGCAGTTCACTTACAACCATTAATCTGTACTGGGTCCTTGTTATGAGTATATTGCACGTTCTGTCTAAATGATTATATCCATGGGAAGGTCAAGATTACATTAATATAAATAAATAGATAGGCGATCAAGATGAATAATGCAGGAAGCCATATTACAACCACTTTCACAAATTAAAATCAGTAAACTAGTAAACAGAAAGTTAAATATTATCTAATAAAAAAATAAAGTTATGAGTGATGGTCAAATCTGCTTGAGACACATTTAACATTTATTCCAACACACTAAAAACTGTAATACTAAATAATACTCCACTAGGGACTATTGAATTTTAAAATTATTTATCTGTAAGATAAATAACGGAAAAAGCATTATTCATAATGTTTTTTTCCGTTATTAACTAGCAAAGTCCCATACCTATTTCTAGAATATTTAAAAACAAAGGACTGATGATTTCGCAATTCATTATACCACACCATACAATAAAGACAACATTATTACCTTGTACAAAAGGTTCCATTTGACATGTAGGGTGACCTTCTTCTCCTTATCCTTCAATTCCTTAAGTTGACAGTCTAGTGTAGACCAGAGAGCTCTCATCTCTTCAGGTTCAAGGGCATCAGAGCCACATTCACGTCTAACAGCCGTCGCATGAGGTTGACTCTTCAACCATTTCGCTACTTCATTAGCTTTCTTTTGACTATAACGAAAAAAATTACATGATCATAATAGAATAGGGGTCCTTGAATTCAAAACGATTTATCAAATAATACATTCAACCGGTTTTAATATAAATAGAGTTAAAAATCGACTGCAGTAATGTCATTTTATTTTTTATAAACGTGAATATTGCAGTATATTATAACTATGGATGCTTTACAACCAAATAAATTCCATCCTTGTAATTTATTTGTTTTTCCGTTTGAAGTCAATCTTAATCTTGAATACTTTTGAAATCAGTGTTGAAATTAAATTTTTAAGTATAACATAATATAACTTAAATATACTTTATATAACAAACACCAAAGACTATATTATATTAAATATATATTGTATTATGGTATATATATATATATATAATATGGTATATATTATATTTATTACTAGACAAATTCAAAACACATCCAGCCCGGCAATATCTTCAAACACTAGATGGCTATGCGTACTTTAACAAAATGTTTTGTCGGGATTATAGAATAAATTGGCAAAGAATAAGTTCCTTGGGAAGAGGCTCTACCCAAACATTAAATTTCAAAAACGACAGATTTCTTTTATTCTTTTGTATTTTTGGATTATTTTGTACATTGAGATTTATTTTCGACCAAGTAGTCAGTGATCAGAGAGAATGGTCAATTTTGACTAATTTTAATACAAATTATTACACCAATTTATTGTTGTAATAGACTGTATTTTAAGGAATCTATATGAGATATAGACACAGTAACTTACCCAACTTCTTTCGGCCACAGATCACTCTCGAAGAACACATCATGGTTAACTGTCTGCGCCAGCGCATCGAACAGATCGGGAAATTGACTCGAATATGCCCTCACTAATTCGATACACCGCTCTGAATACAACCACGAGTTGGTCATTTTGCATCGTCTCGTGTAACCGGATACTTCTTGATTCTTATAAGGAATACAGTGGTTAGTTAATGTTAAATAATGCAAACCGATAAACATTTTGATCTGTGAAATAGTTAGATTATAAACCGACAAAGAATTGAGGACAGCAATAACAGGCATCATTGTCATTGTATTATATAAACTTTCATTTATTATTTATAATAAGATTTATATAAATGCACGAGCCACATGAAAACATACATATTGCTTAATGTTTTGTGGTACCTTCTTTGTTATGAATTAAGCAATGCATGAGATTTAATTAAAAAGCATTTATTTTGATATTATCTAATATTTATTTATTTAACAATTCCGATAAAGACCATAAATTGTTCGATGCATTGTCAGTTTTCAATTAATGAACGTCACAGAGAAATTCAAATTTATATTTGTCAAGTACCTCATATGCCAATAACATTGTGATAAGAAATAATAATTATATCAATATTAAGAAATAGTTATATGAACCTTTAATTAATAATATATGAACCTTTTTATTAAACTTCAGGTTGAGTCCTACGTTGATTTTGTTCATTGTATCGGTGGGTAGATCGTTCCGTTGACCTGTCACCACAAGCACTGAACCCGTGATGCGCGACAACATTTGTGCCGATATACCTAAGTAACATAAACAATTGTGATAAATACATAAAATACGCTGATGTTGTTTGAAAACACTTCATTTGCGAATCGGAAATAACAATTTTGATTTGCGATAAAGAGGCAACACACCAAATGTCAGTTTAATCCATCAATTAGGGTATGACTGGGTAAAAACAAAGAAATTCTATTTTGTCCGTCAGTAAAATTATTATCTTTTTTGCTTCAATTTAACAAGAAATGGCTTAGAAGATAGGCATTATATTACACAGCTTTCCAGAAAATTTACAATACTCTAAATGTATCCATCACTAATTCATATAGTATATGCATTTTTATTTTGTAGGATAGATGGCAGTTTGCTGGGTATACTGCTGTTATTATAAATCTGAAGTAAGCCATCTAAAGCTTTTAGTGATGTGGTAATAAAAAATGTGTATACCAAAACTTGATATTATAAAGTTATATTATTGATTTTGAAGTCAATGTATAAAACAGGATTGAAAAATAATTTTTATTCATCAACATGATGAACCCTATCAGAAAAATAATTATAGTTAAGTTTCATTATTACGACAACATTAATAAAAAAAAATAGTCAAATAATTACCAAATATATATTTAGATTAAAACGATTTATTAATCCAATCCCTCTAGAGGGTTAGATTTCAATATTTATGACTATTAAAATATTTTTAAGTATTTTAATATGCAAATTTAAATAAATATCTATTGAAATATATTTAAATAAATAAATTGTTGACAAACGTCACCCGGGCCATATGAGACAGAATATAGTGATAGTATAGCATGTACTTACCGCATAACGCGGCGGCGTGATTGGCGGAGCGGTACGGGCACGCGGCCGCGTGCACGGCGGGCGCGGGCTCCGCACGCTCGCGCACGCATACCTTGATGCGACCGCTACGGATCGAATCCGATTCCACCACCTATTTTTTTTTTTTAATAATAAATAATAAGTCTGTCATAAACGTTTGATATTGATATTTTCTCACATAACTTAGGGATATATATATAATATATATATATATATATATATAAAAACTAAATAGAATACTTAGTAATTTATAACAAATCTAACTCAAAGATAAAAATAAAGATTTCTTGTTATAGTGTAAGTATAGAACTGTAATGGTGGCAATTCTGTTGCACAGACTAAACTAGACTAATAGGGTTTTGGTTTAATTGTTTTTATTATAGTATACAGGGGGGTAATTAGATATCATGTACGCGACTGCGTAGTAGCGATGGAATTAAACTTAAATTAAAATTAGATATTTGGTGAATAATTAAGAGAGTGGCAAAACAAAAGTGGCATTAACATTTGTAGTTTCTAGTTATTACTGTTTTCTATATTATTAACGCATGCCGTTGCTGCTTGTGAATAAAACAACACATAAACATGAGCCACGTATGATTTGTAACTAGCATTTTAATATGTGTGTTTTGTAAGTTGTCCTAATAAATAAATAAATAACAAGTGATTACAAAATGAATTTACAATATAGGATAGGTATGTTAAGTTTTTAATATCTTGATTATATGGTAATCAACTACATACCTAAAGTAGTATTATTAAAAAGTCATCACTTAAAACCTAAAGCTTTTCGAACATAGCATTAAGGTAGGTAACTACTCAAATATTTTATATCTTACAATTTTACTGTAATGATGTTCTCCAGAGACAATAGAACTTTGAAACTAATGAAGGCCATATACGTTAGGGTTTGCATGATGGTTTTAGCGTTGCATGCATAACTTACAAACAAACCCTAGTGTGTATGTGATAAAACTGTACATTATTTAATTAAATATCAATTTATTACATTTGATAAATTTTGTATTTATAATGCTTTACTGGAAAATATTCTTAATGAAAAATGCTTAAAACTTTGTCCCTGGTACTCTGAGATGGGATTCAAACCCACGACTTTTCACTATTAGAAATCAATTTTGTTTTCATCATCATCATCAGCCCTTTTGGGCCACGACCTTCGCTGGCCAAATGCGGGTTGGAGGATATAGACTATTAGAAATGAATATACGACCAACGGCTTAACGTGTCTTCTGAAGCACAGAGTAGCTCGAGATAATAAGTTTTTGGTCACCCATCCCGTTACCAACCCTTGCGAAAGTTGCTTAACAAAAACAACTCGGGATAGATTTAATATGAAGAAAAAAGCAATATCATCAAACTGTTTAAATAACTAACCGTAGCAAGACAACCGTAGTACTGTCCCTGGGTGAGCAGGAACACCTTATCACCGGGTGGGTAAGCTTCTTGTGGTGTGGAGAACTTTCCCACATCCTGCATTATGTGAGCGGACACATCCTTCACTACAGCGTGTAAAGCATACCCACAGGGTATCGAACACCACTCCGGTTCGCTCACCATCTGAACGTTGTCCTGTATTACGTATTTATAACCTAAAATGTTCCACGTACATATTGTGGTTATTTAGTCTAGGCTATTACAAAGCAATTATGGATTTAGTAGAAGTATCCTATTTACTCGTAAATCAACAGTGAGAGACCTTATACTCAGAAGAACCAGTAAGAAACACTGCAAGGGATGTTTCGGAAGAATTACTTTAGGAGTATATTATGCGAACCACATTATATTAAAATAATTCATTAATATTACGAAAAAAAAGGGTTGCACATAAAACAATTTAAGTTTTTATTGTAAAAAGTTGCATTTTCATGATTTGAAAAAACGCTTACCTTTTAAATTAACCGCATGAATAATAACATTAAGTTCATCCAAGTCAATACCGAGGCGATTCATGTTGCTGTAAACAAACATTTATAAGTATTACTTATTGTTTGAAGCATTTTTGTAGCTTTACTTAACCACTGTATATTATTGAAACACTTTTGCCCGTTTTCACTAAACTTAGGAGTCGCCAAAATCTGACACCTAAATATTTGGGCATTTTCAAAGGTTCAGAATGCGTTTCACCAATGACAGAGACACCTAACGACTTTGGGCAACGTTTAAAGGTAGGACATGCATTGTGCGGCGCCCTGGGCCAAACGCTGGGCATTTGCGTAATATGACATATACATTTACTCTTTGGTCATAATAGATGTGTCAAGAGATAAAATCAATTTAGTTAGTTGGAATCAAGGTGTTTTAATTATTAGAATTAAGATATAAACAACAAGATTCTTTTAATTTTCATGTAGATACCAGACGGCCTATTATTTTCGTTAGTTTATTACCTCAAACTCTTTACGTATAAAGGCCACTAAGGTGAAATTGGCGAAAACGTGTAAACGCAAATAGACGGCCTATTACATTAAAAAATAGAAGACGAATTGAAGCCTGCAAAATCATAGATGAATGTTGGCTACTTAAGAAAGTACTTAGTAATGCATTACCTAACGTTACAAGTTTGGTGAAAATTATGCTTAAGCTCTTAATATTAAGTGATTTCTAGTTAAGCTATGCCTTAATCTAGGGTTGGTGAAAATGGGCATTACAAGCTACCATTTCTAGGAAGTATTACGGTTAGTAGTAAGAACAGACAATTTTATTTATATTGCAATCAGGGGTTAACATTATGACATTATTTGTATCACAGAGTCCTGGCTCAATGACTCCTTTTATGACTCAGAATACTTTGATAGGCGTTATGAAACATTTAGATGTGATCGTGATATGGCTGCCAGTGGTTGTAGTCGTGGAGGAGGGGTTGTAATTGCTGTACGTAGTGAACTGTTCCCCACCGCCCGCTTAGAATGGTGCGCGCCACCGCCAGCAGATGAGCTGTGGGTGAGCATACCATTGCGCGGCCGTTGCAATCATTCGGTCGCGACATGTCGATCCTATGACGTCGTTCCGTCTTATTTACATTTGGCATGCGTTTATGTGCCGCATAGCACAAGGCACGAATCCCAACTTAATTCCTTTTACGATCGCACGGTGGAAATTATAAATTCAAATTCTAATGATATTTTCATTCTTCTTGGAGATTATAACATAAGTAGTGCTGATTGGGTGCCGGATACTGAGTATGGCGGTATGACTATTTGGCCTAGTGATAATAGTTTAGTTTCATTAACATCTGATTTTATGAATTTATCCTTCTCTTCAACAGTTAAACCACATAATTAACTATAATAATCGCTTGTTAGATCTGGTGTTCTGTAGTGTGCGCTGTTGCATTAATATGGTGAATATGCCACTTGTGAAGTAAGACCCTCATCATAAAGCTTTAGACATAAATCTCTCAATTAATTTACCTCATTCTATTAAATATAACAATGTCTTGAAAAGAAATTTCTTTACGGCGGAATATGAATCTATTAGGAAAATCTTGGATTCTGTTAATTGGGATAAAATTTTCTTAAACTGTACTGATGTTGATTCTATGTTATCAGCTTTTTACATTGTCATAAATGACGTCATAAAAATACACGTACCTATCAAAAAATTAATTAATACTCAGAAATTTCCCCCATGGTATACACTTTCTCTAATAAAGTTAAGTAATAAAAAAAGAAAATATTATAGGAAATGGAAAATATATGGTAGTCGAAAGGATTATATAACATTTTCTTTATTTAGATCTCGTTTGCGTAAATTAGAATCCAGTACTTTTAGGAACTATGTGGCTTTCTCCGAGGAAAAAATAAAAGAAAACCCTAAATTCGTCTGGACATATGTAAAATCTAAAAAGGTATCCGGTGACCTACCACAGAGCATGGTTTATAATGACTCCGTACTCACGAAAGGTGAAGACATATGTCAGAGCTTTAACAACTATTTTCATTCAGTTTTTATACAATCGTCTGATGTCAACCCTCAATTTGTTATGCGTACATCGCTTGGGACATCGATAGATCTCAGTGATATACAGCTTGATGAAAATGTAATATTGCAATACTTGAAACATCTTAAAATATACATAAAGGAGCCGGAGCCGATGACATACATCCTTTTTTCGTGTCACAGTGTGCAAATCAATTAGTAAAACCTTTAACAATGATATTCTGCAAATGAATTAGTTCCGGTGTCTTTCCTAGCCTCTGGAAACGAGCTTTGATGACACCTATTCCCAAAAACCACAATAAAAAATTGATTACGGAATATCGTCCCTTGGAAAAAGTAGTTTCACATCAGTTATCGTATTTTATCCGACATCATTTATCCCCTATGCAGCATGGTTTTGTTAACTCTCGCAGCGTTGACACCAATATGATAACATTTACGGAGTCTGTTCTTCAGGCTATGGATCAGGGTAAACAGGTGGATGCTGTGTACACCGACTTCTCAAAGGCGTTTGATAAAATTTCTCATAACTTGCTTTTACAAAAACTTTGGACCCTCGGTGTGCATGGTAATCTGCTTAGTTGGCTCGAATCTTACATTCGCAATCGTAGTCAAGCTGTTTGCGTTAAGGGTTATTGTTCCGCCTTTTTGCCTATTCCATCTGGAGTTCCGCAGGGCTCTCATCTTGGGCCTGTCCTCTTTTGCATTTACATAAATGACATTAATGAAGCCTTGAGTTACTGTTGTCACCTATAGTATGCAGACGACACAAAATTATACAGTCATCAGTAATGAAGATGACTGTCGTGGGCTGCAGAGCGATTTGGACTCTTTAACTAAATATTGCAGAGATAAAAAATTATTCCTTAATGCTGACAAATGCCGTATCATTAGTTTTTCAAGAAAACTTTCAACAATTACATATCCTTATAAGATTAACAACATGGAATTGGTGCGAGTTGATGGTATTAGAGACTTAGGAATAATAGTGGACAGTAAATTATCTTTTAAAGCACATTACGACCAAATAGTTAAAAGGGCATTTCGTACTCTCGGATTCATCATTAGAATATCTAAGCCCTTTAATAACCCTCATACCTTAAAAATTCTTTTCTTTTCTTTTGTACGCTCTATTTTGGAATTCGGTAGTGTCATTTGGAATCCTTTTTATAAACAAGATATAGCCCGTCTAGAAAAGGTTCAATTTAAATTCATGAAGGTACTTAATTTTCGTAAAAACTGCGCAAATAAGGATTACAAGGAGTCACTAAAAAGCTATAATTTGCTATCGCTAGAGAATCGTCGAAAGATGTCTGATTTAGTATTTCTTTTCAAATTGATAAACAGTAAAATTGACTGTCCAGTTCTTCTTTCTAAAATAAACTTCATTATCAAAGCCCGACTGCCCGCACGCTCCTCACGTTCAATAAAAATATTTGTACCACCACCTTATCGCAAAAACTATACCTGCAATAGTTATTTTTGTCGTTGTCTCAAAATGTATAATAGTAAATTTTCCAATATTGACCTGTTTTGTAATACCTCAACTAGCATTAAATCTAAAACTTTTAATACGTTCCAATGATCAACTTTTAATCTTAGTTATCCTAACTTCACATAACCTAATCATAATTTTGTAAAACTATAATTTTTACAAGCTCTTATTTACTTTTTTAACTCATGTTGTTCTTTCTGTATTAAGTCATTATGGGTACTCGTTGTCTACAATATATTGTAATATCTTCAACATTGAAATCAAATACTGACTGTTCGATAATGGTGGCTCTCTCAGATATCCATTGTTTGTGCAAGTTGCCGGCATTTGTCTCTGTCGTGTAATTGGGACATCCGCTTACATTGTTGTTTTGTTGATCGACGTAATGCAATCGCATTTTCTCGTTCGACACTGATATTACCCTAAAAATCACAAACAATATTCAAATAAAATATGTATCAACAAAAATTTCGTCAATAAATTCGAATTACTGTATTTTTTTTTTTTTGTTATTATTTTACACAAAATACGAACTTTATAACCGACTTTCGCTTCCTTGATAGTCATAACTCTTTTTATATTAATGTTTATGGCTTCTGATATCTTATAACCCCATATCTTTTTACCCATATCATTTAAAGACGCAAATACGTATTTTGTAAGGGATAAGGCTTCAATAGCCTTGTAGCTGATTCGATCGAGAGTCGTTTTTTATAACAATTGAAATGGAAGTATAGATTTGCATTTTGCGGCAATTGGCAAGCATAAAGACGTAATATAAAAAGACGCGATTACAAATCCTGCCATTGGCAAATTTTGCAACAAAATATTTTGATCGCCCTTTTAGAAAAAAAAAACACAAAAAAAGACGCAGAGAACAAGATAGCATATAAAAAACTCACTTAGCTCTAGTTAGATGCGGCCACCCCACCCATATGGTTCTCCCAAGGAAATCTTTGGCAACTGCTTCTAACCGTTCATCTCTATTGGGATCTCTTATTATTTGTATTATCATGCTCTCATTACGGGACGGCTGGTCGAATACTTTCACTTTGCTCTTCTTTAAACTAGCCTGGGAACAAGAGAAAAATCGTAATGGAATAATGGACGAACATAGCCTTTTATTGCGTAATTTATATCATAACCGATTATTATTTATTAATAACTAGCTTTCGCCAGCGGCTTCGCCCGCGTGGACCCTAGGGCAATGTTTAGTGGGATAAAAGTATCCTACTATCTAAGTCAGGTAATACCCTATCTGTATACCAAATTTCATCAAAATCCGTTCAGTAATTTCGGCGTGATTGACGGACAAACATCCAAACATGCAAACATCTAAACATCCAAACATGCAAACATCCAAACAAAGAAACTTTCAGATTCATAATATTAATAGGATAGCGAACGATATATCAATGGTTCGCATTTCTAAAGGAAAATCTTAATCCTTATAGTATCACTGGTTGCCTGTCTATCTGTCACAGCTGATTTTCTCCTAACTACTGGATAAATTGAGTTGAAATATGTTATGCATATGTAATTTACCATGTAAGGCGTGGCGTACGTGTTAGAATAAAATAAACTTTTTGGCACATTTACACAAACACACGAATTAAAAACAAATCAAAAAGCAAGTACAAATGGCGAGCCCTATCGCTCGACAACAATCTCTACCAGGCAACCATCAATACAAGATAATTTAGTAGAAAGAAGCTAGGGCAGTTTTTATTTCACAAAAACAATACATTAACGCTACAAACGTAATACATAATTTTAAACATAGAAATATATTTTGGGGATATAAATTAAAAGATTAATAAAAAGTTTCTCAATACGGCTATAGAGTAAAGGAAAACCTATTATAAGTATAAGGTATCTCAAATTAAATATTTATTTGCCAGTCCAACTCGCTCTCGGCCGTTTATATCCTATATATTTGCTGACCTGATATTTTAGGTGCTTCATGGTGGGGAAACCAGGGAAAAGCATATCCCTCTTGGCGTTGGGAAGCATCCCTCTCCTGAGCTGGGACTCCGGCACGTCTAACTGCTGACGCCACACTTTACTTTCTATAGCGTGGCAATCCACTATTGGCGGGAAATAACTTGGAGCATTCACAGGCCCTAAGGATCAAAACCATTTATTTTTTACACCAAAGGAATAATCGTAAAGACCTAATTTGCATATCTGTGGATATTTAAAGCGTACAATGATTTAAAATTATGGCTTCTTACATGATCCTTCATTATAAAAAAGGGTTGAAAAAGCTCAAAATGTTGCAGCTCCTTTCCCAAATATTCCTTCTTTTTTCAATATGACATTTATTTTTAAACTTAACAACTGTTCATTGATGAAGTCAAAGAACTTAAAAAAACTTACTTAGATATACTAAATTCGTATTTTTTTAGAAATATTATTTCCTACATGATTCACTACTGTAAAGTCAGACAGTTAGAAAGGAGGTTTCTCAGGCCACAAAATCATAACCAAATAATTAAATTTCGTTTTTGGACACCCTACATTAATGATATGACCAAATGTGGATTCCCATATCATTAAACGATATGATCAATTTTAGATTTCCGGGTTCGATACCGCGACTAAGAACTAGTTCTTTTTTAAATGCACATATCAATTTCATGGTTCCTAAGAAAAGGTCTTCAGTATATCTTAAAGTTTCAGATTTTCACATTAACCGATCTTAATATTGCATCCTGTTCATTACTACAAAATAAATCTACATTATCTACAGTATAACGTTTTACCTTGACTAGTTGAAGTCCAATTATATACCAACATAGGACCATGGCTATTACGTTTCAGTTCCTCATCTGTCAACCTCTCGTAGCACGGAGCCATTGCTGATAGAAGATTGGCCTAATAAATATATAGAGTTTTTTTATAGACATAACGAATTTGCATGGACCTAATTTTTTTGTGCTACCATTATGATAGACCTACATAAGAACGGCTCGTGCGCCGGTTTTAAAGTGTGGCCATCTGTAACCCCGGGTTCAATACCCGATTGAATCAATGTACAAAATGAACTTTCCTACCATTTTTCGGGTCTGGGTGTTATGGTGCCTTCGTTGTTTCAGATAATACAAGGACTTGAGCTTATTCGGATGAGAGGAATGATGTTTAGTTTTTATTTATTATTATCATTATTTATATATCAATGTCGTATAGTAGCTATTTTAAGCAAAAGGTGTTTGAAATTGGATTTATAAAAATGCCTATTAATTTAAAACTATTTCTTATCCAATAGGTATGACGACTGGGTAAAAAAAATGCAATTCTATTTAGCCCGTCAGTCAGATAATAGAAAAATATTAGATACGTATTTTTTTTACTTCAATTTAACGAGAAATAGCTTAGATAACAGGTATTAATGTTGAGGAGTGGGGGCTCGCTACGTCACAGTTTTGTAGAAAACGTACCATAACGTGACGTCATGCGAAATTTCAACTCCATGTATCGCCGTAATTTTATGAATAAAAAAAATATATATATACGTGTATAATATTTTTCAACACTCTACTTGACGGACAAACAAATAAAAAATATTTGTTGTTGTTTGCGTCTTTTAAGGTTGCAAAGCTCTGTAACTCAAGTTCTACTACTGCGTTTAAAAAAGGATTTAATTACAAAATCTAATAAAAATCAATATCATAAAACCAACCTCGTCAATAAATGGTATAAGCACGACGGCTTCCCAGTCATTCCTCTTACCGTTGAGATCTGTCTCAAAGTTAATAGGATAATAGTGTACGATAGGTGAATCTTCATCTGTCATCAGGTCGTGGAATGGTGCGGGTAGAAGATGCTTGCTTGCAGCTGGCAATACCGCTAGGAGCTGGAATGTTATTCTTACTTAATAATAATAAACTAGTACAGTGTAAGATAGAACTGCTCATAAAGCTAAATTTCGAAGCAAGGCATATGTCAGCCAATCAAAACTATTCAAGTATCTCATCATCAAGTGATTACCAATCATATCATATTCATGTTCCTAACCCCGGAAGAATATACACCTAATGCGTTGTATTTTACACCTCATATTAATTGAAACAAGACTCACTATAGATTTCTCGATTGTCTAAATTAGTTAGTCTGCTCTGTGTACATGAAAAATGTTATAAAAATGTGCAAGAGCTCACTAAAACTTGATATTTCAATATATTGAAGTACTAAAACCATACATCACTCAATATCCAGTGAGGAAATCAGGCACTGGAATACTTGTTTGCGGCGTTATTTTTAAATCAAATAGAGTACCTGCTCGAAAGGTTTGAATGGCTCTCCCAATTCAAACTCTATCTTCAAATCCTTGAATCCTTTTATATCTGATATGTATGGTGCGTAATGGTGTGGATAATACCAACACCACGAAGGGCAACCCTTGTAATAATAAAACAAATTCCATTGTATCGCCCTCACGTAACCTTCAGCTTGGTCCGCTAACACCTCACTAAAACCAATGATTTAATATAATACAGTTACAACAAATTGTTTAAACTTATGGAATCTATAGCATGAAAGTGATCATCAACTATGGTCTGTGTACGACATCCGATAAATTGTTATGGACACACACATTGATACAACTTGCACGTGTTTTTTTACATCCAAGGTCGCTATATTTCTGCCGCCTGATGAGATGGCAGAAGGTGTACAGGCCTCAGTACTACTCTACTAGTACTAAAGGAAACAAAGTATGGAAGAAGAATAAATGTTGCTCCGAATAGAGCAAACAATTGACGGGATAAAAAATTGTATATGTAATTAATAAAAACTTCTTCAAATATTTATCTTTTTAATCAATAAACATGCCAGTGTCTTTAATATTTTAGTCAACAGGCAAAGTGTCTTTACAGGCAAACTCTAAACTAAATGTTCGACGACATTGTAACAGAATATTGGACAATCATATAACCATATTTTTGTATGGGCACAATAAATTTCTTAAATATTATTATCAGTGGTCGGAATTAGGTAGAGTTATTCATGTACTTACACTGATTTCATACAGCGAAAGAATAAAGTGGATATGCCTCAAATCCCAAGATTAATTTTAAAGAGCAGAAAAAATCCCGTGATTTTTGTATAAAAAGTTATTTACTTTTACACAATTTAAACTATTGCACGCACGACGTTGCCAAACTTACATCAATGACATCGGATGTCCAAAGTTGCAAAATACCAATACGCGCGATGTTGCAACATTTGTAGGAAGGTCCACATTAATATCAACATTTCGATGCAAGTACATAAATAACTCTACCTAATTCGGACCTCTGATTATTATACGATAATACTTACTCGGTTACTTTGGAATAATCTAATTTGTTCATGTAATAGTCTTTTTTGTGCAACAAAAACTCCATTTCAATATTAGCCTCCTCTGTAATAAAAAAAATATTAGAGGAGCAAGGTTTTTATTTGTCGACGCTGTTTAATTTATGAATTTAGAACTCAATGGTGTAAAGCTTATAACATTAAAATCAACTTGTGAAATCTGTTTGCATTTCTATTATAACCGTTGAAATGTGATAGAGAAAACACTATATTAAAGATAATTACCGTCGCTCGTTTCTTCATATTCTTCCCCCTCGTTATCCAAATCGTCCATAAACTGAAAAATTATAACAGTATTAATAAAAATTATGAGTTTCGTAAGTCGTTTCTAACGAACTCAGCAATGGCTTATGTATTTTAGGATGATTATCCAGCAGAGGTTTTCAACCTTTTTTCTAAGACTATTTTAATTTTTTTACCGACATTATTGGACTATTTGAGTCACTTTGGGGATTAGGGATCCAGAATAATACTTTCTTTCTTTTCTTAATTACATTATTATTACTAACTTTTGTCCCGCGACATAAGTAAATAATAGTTATGTTAACCCCGTATGATGCAGCTAACCGTAGGTGAAAGATTTTTTAAAGTCGGTTCATGAATTTCAGAGCCTATTCGATGCAAACAAACAAACGATCAAATCTTTCCTATTTATAATATTAATATAGATTATTAGTTAAGTAGTAAACATAGTAATATAAACATATACCATTTCTTGTGTGGCATTAATGAGCGCCTGCAATTCGTCATCCGGTTTATTATTTTTGATATCATCAACATTGACATTGAATGTTTCGTCATTATTGGGTTTGTACTGAAAATGAAAGTGAATTACATTACATAGCGGATACTAAATATTTATTTTACATTAGCAAAATTGGTATTTAACAGCCGAACATGTACCCAGTACGTTTTTTGTATTAAACATGTGGTTTTACGGTTGTTTACGTGTTAACTCATACTGGGTACTTGCTCGTCTCAACTAACCGATATGAACCGTGGGCCAAAATAAATTCTTAATTATGGTGATAACATTAATTAGTCCAAATAATGAACCCTGCAACTATAATAGGGGTGTAGACATAATTTTTATATACATTTTTGTTTTATAGATATATATAAAATATATGTAAGAACAAAAATATTTAAAAAGAGAATCATTCATATAATAAGTTAAAATAAAATAAAAAAGTGTTTTCTAAATTTCTTGCGAACACGCCAACGTCTGTTATAGCGTCGCTATGACGTCACGTTTGCGTTTACATGACACGTGACGTAACGAGTATAATATATTTGATTATTTTCATAATTACTTTAAGCAATATTTTAAATATAATAAGCATAAATGTGTGATTTTCGGTAATAGTATATTAAACAGTACCAGAAAAAAATGTATTTATTTTAGTTTACTGTCTACACCCGTATTGTTGACGTCATGATCAGGATCAGTATATTGGCTACTCAAATATCAGAAACAATTTTGACAATTCAATACTAATTCTATTTTGTTCTATCAATTTGATACCTATACCTACATAATATAAAACAAAGTTCCCGCTGTCTGTATGCTGAGATCTTTTAAACTAAGCAACGAATTTTGATGCGGTTTTTCATCAATATACAGAGTAGTGTAGGAGGAAAGCTTATATTTACAATAGAAGACCACGCAGGCGAAACAGCTAACGGAAAACTAGTTACAAATATTTAATATTCAGTCAGATATTATAAATATGAAATAATAATAATAATAAAAAATTCATATAAAACATTTAAAAGCCATAAATTTTATACTGTGATCTGTATTACCTCTTTTCTTTCCTGTGCATTAGGTCGTCTACCTGTCTTTGCCTCGAAATATTTCAAATCTGCGTATACATCTTGAAATTTCTCCTTATCTAATTTGGCTAATTCTTGCATAAATATTTCAAATCTCTCTAGATTTAAGTCTCCTGCTTCATTTATATAACCTTAAAAATATTTTTATTTGCAATTTCTATTTTATACGAAGGTCAAACTGAAAGTTCTTAGAACTGGCCACTTATAAACAATATAATAAAAAAATAATTCTAAAATTTGAAAATATAACTCTTTGCCAATATTACTGAGTATATATTTCATTCATTTGTCATTTGTTTTACGATTTGGCGGCAAATTGAAAATTGTCTGTGTCACGTCATCATGAATTTAACACGAGAAAATTTTCGTGCAATGATTTTTTATGACTTTCGATGTCAATTAAGTCAACAAGAAAGTTATGATAGACTACGATTGGCCTTTCACGATGAAGCCCCATCTCGTGCGACTGTTTACAACTGGTTTAATGAGTTTAAACGTGGTCGCACTAATCTCACTGATGATTTACGTGAGGGACGGCCTTCTACGGCGACGACTGAAGATAACATCTGTGTTGTGCGGCGTATGATAGAGACTGACAAAAGAGTGACCTATCAACAGATTCGGACAAGCTTAGGCATCGGTATGAGTCAAGTGCACAAAATCCTCCACGAACATTTAGCGGTCAGGAAGCTTTGCGCCCGGTGGATACCTCATAATTTGACTGAGGCTCAAAAACTCCATCGTGTGGATTGGTGTCGTAAAATGATTGAAAGATTTAACGGAGGTGACTCAAATGCTGTGTTCGACATACTAACAGGTGACGAAAGCTGGATTTACTGTTATGATCCTAAAACCAAAAGACAATCTGCTCAGTGGGTGTTTCCTTTCGAGGAGTTGCCAACTAAAGTGAAGAGAGATCGAAGTGCGGGAAAAAAAATGGTGGCCTCGTTCTTTGGAAGGATAGGTCATTTTGCAACAATTGTGTTAGAGGATCAAAAAACAGTTTCTGCAGAATGGTACACTACCAATTGTTTGCCACTTGTCTTGGAAAAAGTTCGAGAGAAACGACCTCGCAGTAGGATCCTCCTTCACCACGACAACGCCTCGTCGCACACCGCCAAGCGAACGGTCGACTATTTGGCGACATCAAACGTTGAATTACTGGGTCACCCGCCGTATAGCCCCGACCTCGCGCCTTGTGATTTTTATTTATTTCCAAACATATGTGAAAGACGAAACTCTATGCCACTCGGTTCGTAAATCTACCGCGGGAGACTTCGTACCGCGAAGAACTGGCAAGAAACTCGGCAGTGGCTGCTTTTTTCCCTGTTTTATTTCATACAGAGATGTAAAGATTAAAAAAATCGATAAATAATTAATTATATAAAAAAGAGCTATTGATTTTTAAGTTTTAAATTTTCATACTCACCATCCAAAGTAGGTAATACTTTCATATATGTACTATAAAGTATGGGTAAAGCATCATTTCCTATATGCATATGAGGTAAATGAGGAATAAAATCGTTGCCCACTAAAAAGCCCATTAGCACCCAATCATCTACCAACTTCTCTAAATCATACTGAAAGGGCAATTTGTCTTTTATTGATATGAATTCTTGTTCTAAATATTCCCTAAGTAGCGATAGATGTAGGAGGTAGAAGTTAGTCTCTTCTGGACTCGTAGCACGCTGTGTAGTTTTACCGAATTTAACCTAAAAATTGACGAAATTAAATAATAATAATTATATTTGATATATTTTGCATTCACAATGCTATACTGAAAAATACTCTTAATGAAATTTGTTTAAAAAAAAATATTGTCCCTGGCACTTTAAGACGGGACTCAAACCCATTACCTTTCGCAATCCCGGCGATTGCTTTAACCACTGAGCTACCTAGGACCTAACAGGACTGACGAATTATTCAAGCACTTGTTACTCGATACTACAGAGCGTATTTTCATCAATGTTCAGACAATCTATTTAAACATATTTTACATGTGTTAAGGTTTTAACTTATTTTGACAAATGTTTAAACTTTGGATAAAATTGTAAAAATTGTGCTAATTATAAATTTTGCAATATACTGAAAAAATATTTTCAATGAAAAATCTCATCTCAGAGTGCCAGGGACAAAATGAATTTTTCAAGCATTTTGTATTAAGAAAATGAATAATAATTATTTAACTTAATTTGTAATACATAAAGCAACTGGCACGGAATTGCCCTCAGAGCGCCTGGTGTAAGTTTTTAGTCATTTATTTTTACCGTTGATCGTGAGCACGTTAAGACTAGTATGGAAATTAGTACAGCGCCCCTAGCAGTGACTACCAAGAACTAATGATCTCCATACAAATTCTTAACCCGCTCACTAGTGAACGTAAAACCTACACTTACCACTCTAAGGATTTATAGAAGATGACTACTTTGTGTATTGAATATAAGTATAGCCAACAGAACTAACAGATAGAAAGATTTAGAAATATAATCACTTTCATCCATCATTTGTACTAGAATTGGATTTACTGGCTTCTAAATGAAAAAAATATCTATATATCTAAAAACCAAACCATTTTTATTTTGACAAATAAATATATTTTGTAAACTAAAATAAATCAAATTTATGATGTTACATAAATATTAGTGCATCTTAAAAGTCCATTATGAACTTTATACAACTCACCTCTTCCCTTAGCAACGCAAAGTGGGGCTCGTGCGTACACATACCCAACATAATGAGATCTGCGTCCAGCCCGTAGAGACAGTGCCGTGTGTTAGGCTCATAGTCGGGCTGAGAACGCGACCAACGGATGTAATCCATTATCTTGTGCTCACCTTCACCTGGCGTCTGGATATTTCATACCAATTAGAAATAATGCATATATTTATTTAACCTTTATGGCAATACAGCAAAGGGCGGACTTAATTCCGTACGAGATTCTCTGCCAGTCGATCAGTAAGGTGTCAAATAATCAATAGTGAGTGGTGCAACAAATATACATAAAAATGTTGTTAAATATAAACTTTCATCAAGTGAGTATTTAACTAATAATATGTTACTTATGAAACCAATTAAGGAATACTTTAAAATCAGTTGCAAGATTTGTAAGCAGTATATGCATGAGAACGATAACCAATTTAGATTAGTTTTTTTTTATAATACACTATATTGTATAGATCTCAAACTCTTGCAAACAAATATTGAGTTATACAAAACTCTGTAGTATGCTGTATTATCGGTAGTTGTCAATATCCACCAATCTGCACTGGACCCATGTATCATGTCAGGTCATGGCCAATCTCTGTGATTGAATTGATTAAATACCATCTACAGGGAAGGCCTGAGCTCCAGCAGTGGCGGCATTATTAGGGTGCTGATGATTATTATGTTTCATAGCAGCAGTTATCTTGGATTTTTTTTATGCCATACTATATTCTACTTCTCAAATCCTTTCATTTTACACCCACATTGGAGCGTGTGTATTTATAAAAATGTGAGGCAAGTCTTTTTATTTTGGATTTACAACATCACATTGCATTGTTATTGTTTTCCGAATTTCAGCTCAATTAGAAACTGGGTAGTGGATCATATTAAGTTTGCTAAACTTTACCCAAACTAACATTGCAAATTAAATAAAAAATTGGTGCAATAAATAAATATAATTTTAATTTGGTTAACATACGAATCAATATAGTGTAACAAATTAAATAGGCTAAATATCTTTGAAATTTTTAGAACGAATCAACTCTAAGCTCATGTAAAGCTCAAATATTATGATTTTAGTTAAATACCTCATGGCCAGAAAGGATGACCTTCACTTTAGACCACAATGGATCAGTGGACATCTTTTGTTTCACAAAATATCTCAGTTGCTCATGGAGTCGGGTCATAAATACTGTTCCAGGTGTGATGCAGTTGCTATCAAAACGTTTCTCAGTTGGCAGTTTCTCTCCTAGAAATTGTATTCTTATATAAATATATATTTCATAAAAAATCTATAAATTCATACTTGGACTGCATCCAACACCAGCATTTTGCTGTTCACAAATAACAAGGGACTCAATTTACAACAAATATGATAATACTATCCGTAGCGTCCATGAAGTTTAAAATAAAAAATGTTTAATTATAATCCAAAAAAAAAGTGTAATATGATGAATTACAATAATCTTCATGAAAAATACTTTAAAAAAAAAACACTTAGTCCCTAGCACCGTGAAATGCCAGGGGAGAGATCTTAGGGTGTCAGGGACCAAGTGGATTTTTTATACATTTTTCATTAAGAATAATTTTCAGTATATCATTGTGAAAGTGAAATTCATCAAATATAATAATTAAGATATGTCAAGTGGTCAATATCACGATATCTAAACTTTCGGTAAATCTCTAAGTTTGAATTTGCATTATTATAGCATTTTTGCAGCATGATTACGATAGGCGCAGCTCTAATAATACAGTGAAATAGTGCTTATAATAGATTGAAGCCCTTTTTGATGCATAATAAGTGAATTAGTTATGCTTAATTGATACACAGTATAAATGTTAAGATGAATCTTGACCTTTTTACCTTTAGCTTTTGCATCTTCTTCTAACTTCTCAGCTTCTCTAGCTGATCTAAATCTACAACCAAACAGGTGAAATAATATTATTATTGATTGATGGTTTCTAATGCAGTAAAGTAATATATAGTACTACAGGTAATATATAGTGAAGATTTTTATATGCCAGATCCAGTAATTATAGTTCTTAACTTTAGTTTCCTAGGTAAGTGTCAAAAATAGTTTATTAAAATAGTTTAGTCTTTACAAATATTTTCAACTCATTTGATATTTCCAGTTTCAGTTTTTGACTATGCCATATGTTGTAATAAGCAAAATATTTTATGAGCAATTTCCATACAAACCTCCTGCCCCTTTGCTGGTTCATCTTTGCTCTAGGAGCAACTCCATCAATTGCCATGAAGAACAACTTCTTTGGCTTAATGATTTGAAAAAGGATGCTGATGTAGTGAAAAATGTCTTTGAATATCTTCTCTTCTGTGATACGGAAGTGAGGATCAGAATCATCCGGATGGGAGCAGTTGTGTATGATACCATTCATGTCCAAATACATGTTGTCAAAATCAGGTATCTGTAAAAATACAAAATAATCAATAACTTATATTAGACAATTGGCACGTTGCACAAACATCCATAATGGTTTAATGACAAATTTAAATGGTGCTTTAAACTAATGTAAATTTATTGGCTGAATATCACACCAATTGCTCTGATCAAAATTATATTATGGAAAACCTGAAACAACATCTAGACACTTTTCTACATTGACCCAACCTGGAATCAAGCCTGTGAGCTCAAAGATGGCTCCACCTTGAAAATGGCATGTGTGCCACAGTGGTCTATATTCATTTAAAGTTATGCTTTTTCAATTCATTATTTGTAGATCCATTAATGTTATTAATAAGTGCAATTATATTACTGTGTTTCATGACAGTTTGCCAAATGTTAATGGAATTATAGCCAACAATCACATAGATCTATATGTATAGTAGCTAATGAATAGCATTACTTACAATGTTACATTTGGATATTATTGAATAATAAGTCTATAATATTATAAACATAATTATTTTCTAATATGAATTGTAAAATAAAAAAAATGGACTTACATCCTATTAATGTCTCCACTACTCAATTGCCTGAGCAGTGGCATCCTATGGATGGATAGCATCTAATAGATTATTCTATCACATAATTCAATATAAAATATGATCTGTTACCCCACTCCCTCTATTAAAAAAAGTACCATGTTATTGAACTCAGCATGGGTATAAGGGCAGGGAGAGGGGGGGTCATCACTTTTATGGCATAAAATGAATGCAGTTAAAAAGTACTTGTGCATGCATTTGTTTGGTTTAAGATTCAATATACACTCCAATGAATTGGTATTTGTTACTGGTAATTTCTATTATCAGCAGAATCTGCCTATTGTCTACATAAAAAAGTGCTTCCAAATAAATCTTATTATTTTCTCATTCCCACAAGCAACAGACATTATTTCTGTAGCAGCATCTCTAATAAGGGTAGTAAAATAGTACAGTTAAAAAACAAACATACCTGATACTGCTTCACCAATTCATTGAGGCAAGGGTATCTTTCACTGGTATACCTGAAAAACTTTGGAACTCCCATCTTGAATTAATTACTTTTTGCAAGTAATTTTCAAATTAAATAGGTGTCTGGTGCCCCTAAACCAGGTAATGTAACCTTAAAATCAATAACGGTGTAGAAAGACCTGCATTGAAATAATGATATTTCCAACTGACTTTATGATGTAGTCAGTTGTCTCAGCTGGTGTAATTGAAAAATAACAGCTGAAAAAAGAAATATTATTACAACAACCTACATTTCTAATCTGTATGAAATTGAAAAGTGTACAAAGATAGGGATGGTGAACTTAGATTGATTAAGCAAGAATCGATATGTTAGTCAGTATTGACTATGGAGTTTTTTTAATAGGGGATGATATAGTAATCATATAAAAATCTTGTTTGTTTGAAAATTTCATTAAGTTTAAATCAATGAACGTGGCATGTGTGAACGTAGCATGATTCTGAGCAACCACCCAATAGTGGTCTGCCGATTCTAGTATCTGGAGGAAAGACAAAAAATATTGTTTATAAAAAAAAATACTGCAATACCTGTAACATTTTTATTAATATAAATCAGAAAATGATTCATAAAACAGTATTTTTATAAAATCAAGATATTTTTCAACCATTATACCGCTCAGTGATAGATCCATTAATTGATACAACACAAACCGATTGTAGCAAAATTATTTACATATATAGAAATTATACTCTTTATAGTTTTCATATTATTTATGTCACTGGTGGACAATGAATATTATATATTCTGAATGCACTCGTTGAGAATATATAAAGTAGCTACTCAAGAAGATAATTTTCAATGGTCTGATAATTATATAATTTGTTTGAGAATTTAAGAAGCGTTTTACTTTCTACATCCAGACCATCCAAGTTGAAGTTGACATTGAATATTCTGGTGAATAGAACACAGAACGCAATCCCCAAACGATTAATAAAAAAAACCGATTTCAAATGTAACATCGCTTGTCACATCACTAAAATCAATGAACAAACAAGCAAAGGCTTTGTGGTGTTGGTAGGTATACCTAATGTTATTAAATATTCAAAGTCGCTGATTTTGACCGATAATATTTTTTTATTACCAAATATTGTAACAATACTGTGTACAAAAGTGAATTTATTAGCTACGAAAGAAGTATAATCTGAATCGGAAAATAACCTAGTATTTTACCTTGATGAAAAATCATGGAAAACGACGAAGTTGGCAATGAACTCGTTAGATTGGATAATGGATTTTTGGTGGACGAATATGTTTTAAATTCTGACGAGGTCTTGGGTATGTGTCGCTTACTCGTAATCTGATTACCTATTTATATCCAGTATTTGTTTACAAGTTGTTATGAACTTGAATAACCTTTCAGAAGAAGAAAACAATTCGGATTCAAACTGTGGTGGAAAGAATGTTCCACTCAGAGAACAAGATCGTTTCCTGCCAATAGCGAATATAGCAAAAATTATGAAAAGGGCTATTCCTGATAATGGAAAGGTAGGGTAGTTTTATTATTTGACATTCTCCAAGAGTATTCTCCATCTCCAAACATAATTTTTTATTATAATTACCCGGACACATAACTATATGAAAGGAGGACCTCTATGATGCGCTAGTGCGTTTAGTCAGTGATGCAGAGGTTAAGCAATACTTATTGCTAGATGGCAATGTTCAAAATGTTTCTGTCTAGTCTGGCACAAAACCTTTGTTAAGGCCAATTACATGATGAGTAACTGAAAATATACTATCATGAGCCCATGCTTCTGAAATTATGTCAAATATTTATCAACAAACAGGCTTGAGTTTGTCTGGTTTAATATTCGGTTTAATGTTCAATCCAGAGAATGCCTCTGCTTCAGCAATGGGATAAAAAAACTTATGATAATGAAGTATATGAAAATCTAATAAATACTCTTCAGCCAGTTTCGCCAATGTCCATTAAAATTTACATTAGTTTTAAGCGACATTACTGATACAAATTTGACATTCATTAGAGCTTAAAGGTGTCATTAAACCTTAATGGATGTTTGTGCAACTGACCATTTTATTTACCATAGATAACTTGATAATTATTAATGTTTTCAGATAGCAAAAGATGCAAGAGAATGTGTACAAGAGTGCATATCAGAATTCATTTCTTTTGTTACAAGTGAAGCTAGCGATAGATGCCAAGTTGAAAAAAGAAAAACAATCAACGGAGAGGATGTTCTTTTTGCCATGAATGCTTTAGGATTTGATAACTATGTGGAGCCGTTGAAATTGTACCTGAAAAAGTTTAGAGAAACTGCCTTATCACCTGTGAGTTGGTTATTTTCATGGTGATACTAATTGTTGAGGTTTTAATATTTAAATTGACCAACTATTCTGTTATTATTTTTTTACAATTTTGTTTTATACCGTTTGATTTGTTAAACATCATCTGGTAGTGTCATTCCAATGAAAAAGAGAAAAAGATCTATAAGTATACAACTCTTATAGGTTACTTATTGGTAAGGTGTTATTTATTTTAGTAATAAATAAGCCAATTTTAATGTATTTTAACTATCAACAATGATTGTTAAGTTCAAATTTTTTTATACCCACTTCACATCATCATACAGGTGTATATCTGCGAGACGAGCATAGCAAATCTTAGCCAATATGAATGATTTAAGAAACATTTTTAGTTTCCCCTTGGCTATATTGTATTAAATTTTGAATTTAAACATTGTTTAATTTTTATTATGTTTTTTACAGGTAACTATTAACAAACTGAATAAATACGTCGTATATAGCGCAGGTAAGTTTTGTAACATACTGAAAGTATAACGGCACGTTTTCATTAGTCAATAAATATTCATGATTTGGGACAGGAGACCAGGGTTCATAATTATCAAGATAATTATTGTTTTGGATAATTATCCATTGTTACTGGCAACATTTTTTAAAAACAAAGGCATTTATAATTAAGCCAACTTTTAATCTTTACTAATATTATAAAGCTGAAGAGTTTGTTTGTCTAATCTCAGGAACTACTGGTTCGAATTGAAAAATTATTTTTGTGTTGAATAGACCATTTATCGAGGATCACGCTGCAACTATTAGGAGCGAAGAAATAATGGAAAACGCGGACGAAATCGCTGGCGGCCACTAGTCTTATTATATGTAAACAAAATATATAAAACAATGACAAAAAAGAAACAAAAACTAATATATATGAAATCACATCAATGTGAAATCAAAATATTTTGTAAATAAAATTTTTTTATTTTTATAAGTCCATCCTAGATTTTAGAACGAGTTTGTGTAGAGTTTTATAATTTATCAGGATAATATCATCATCACTCCAAACCCTGTATAAGACCTTTATTTATTCTGTGTTATACTTGCAGGCGGTATATAACAATTGCGCTGTTCGCTTTTTCTAGTCTATCCTACCTATGGGGGATTCCCTTTATATTGACCAAAAAATATGAGCCTTATATGAACAGACATATTGTCTTTGTGAATTATCTCAATATTTTCATAACTAAGCTTTTTAAATTGACTTTCAGATGATGGACCACAATGCATCACAGCGGAACTTAATAATGACAACGATGATCACTCCGAGGCTGTGATCTACACTTACCCTAAGGCGATAGAAGATTTCACTATCACATGAACATAAATATTATGTATAGGTATACTATTCAAAATGAAGACCGACCCTTTAAGTTAAGAGGTGATTTTTTTCAATAATATAAAATGGCTTAGGGCAGTTGGATTTACTTTGACTTAGGTTGTTTAATCTAGTATGGGAATATTCAAGTTAGGCGATTTCTAACATTATAATATGCATTCACAATCGGATTGCTATATTAGTATGTTCTTGACCTTACTAGTGTCTAATAAATTATTTCTGAATGATTACAAGTGAAATTAAAGGATATTGCTCATATAAGTATGGAATACGGTTTCAGATTGCGTCAAAATGTATTGTTACGGTACACGTCTTTTATTTAAGGATTTGAATGTGTAAATTAAATCACCAAATATTATATCTCAAGGTTATCTGTAGGAATGGACTCTCCGCGATTGTTATGCGCACATAATTATTTATAACGAACTTGCTGTCACCACGAATTTCATACAGTCTTTAGGTCGTAGCACACATGCAGAGCACGGTACGGACCCGGCGATTTACTTACCATTGAAATTTGAGCATCTATATAAATAATTTTGTCGATAATGATGAATGATAGCGAGTGATAGATGTATCGAAAAACTACTTTTACATGAAAAATTGTTTTTGTAGTTCTACTATAACAATTATTCATGCATGCAAAATGAAGGAGTATAGATTAAAAAAAAACTACTTAAATAAATGTCGCTAGGTGGCGGTAATATCTTCGAAACATTTCTGTCAATTCTAAACACAAAATGACAATTGTAATTTTCATTCTTTATAAACAAATACATTTTCGAAGCTTAGGTATTTAAACAAACATGAAGAGCTATTAATATGATGACGGTTTATTATTAACTTACGATATTTTATTACATAAGTAAGGAAATCGGTTTCCATATGATAGATAATAATTTAAATACACTCAGGTGGCCGAATTCACTTCGAGAAGCGGCATCCGGTCAATTTTGAATTGGTAATAAAGTTTCATGGCCTAAGCGAAGTGAGTTTCGAAATAACATAGAAATAAAATATCTGAGACACACAATCAATTTTATTTTGTAATTTTATACAAAAAATGGAATTAATAGAATTTCTTCATTAATTGACGTGAATTCGGAGACATGAGTGAATTCGAATCCCGGTTCGGATTTTTACAGAATTACCCTGCAGAGTAAAATGAATACCATTGAAGGAATTTACAAAGATTACTTCATTGCTTTATTTTTGAAATAAATAATAAATTGCAAGGTTTTTAGAAAATCGTCTCAGAAACTGTGCGTGCCGCTGCAACGACGAAGCTACGTCACGAGGAACTTACTTCCCAATTAGACTTTTCTGTGCGAAATAAAACGGAGAGAAAAGTTTCTTGCCGGTTCTTCTCAATACAAGATCTCCCGTCGTAGATTTTCTTGTAACAGCCTAGACTGAATAAATACATTGAATTTCAATTTGAAGTCGTAGTAACGCTTCTATAACGCAGCACCTGTGGTCGGTGATGAGTTCTATCTGTTTCGATTATACAACGCAATGTGGCGTGTGGACCTCGATTGTCTTAATATGACACGTAACACTGGATTCTGGCGAAATCCACAAGGGTCAAATCCAACAAATCAAAAATTATGAAAATCATTCTTGTAGACTTTGATTATTTGACCAAAGCGATTTATAACTTATTTTTGCGAAACGGGTCTAACTTTGCATTGAATAGTATATAATACCTAGTTCGTAATAAAATCCAAACTGTCTTATAGAGCTGCAATAGTACGGAAAAATAATTTTATTACGCTGTGTAACTTTTAAAATTTGCACTTTTGCAAACGTGTTGTAATGTTAAATAAAATTTTGACACATATTTATGTTTTAATAATTTTGTTTATTTTTAATATAACATTTTTGTGGACGGATTACTTATAACCTAAAACTTATGAATTAGATTTTTTTACTGTAAATAATTTTTAAAGATAACTTTACTAGAATAATATTTCTTTTTAACATTACAAGTTCCAGATCATTCTCTAAATTTATCTTTTATGTAACCAGGCAGTGGCATCAAGTAAATAAATTTATTCAAGACCATGATTCCAACTGAGAATGCGAAAGAAATCCCTAGATTGAACTCTAGGTTGAAATCCCCCAGAGTGTATATGTCTCCGACGAAATTCTTAGAGGTGAATCTTTCGGTGAGGAATGCCTTGCCGTTTGCGTATCTACAGTTGGAATTAGAGTTGGTGTTGAGACTGGAGGAGGTCTGAATGAGACTTGCGATGGACGTACAGTTCTCCTGATCGTTATACGGCAAAATGTTGAATATCGGCTGCTTGAATATTTTCTGGTGCAGGAAAATTGAAGTGTAGCGTGTGTGAGTTATATATGTGATGTAGTAAAGCCAGTCTTCGTAGCCTTTGTAGGACCTGAAATGGAATTAACGTTGCAAATTGTAGAATTAGACGGGAAGTTGATCATATTAGGCAGAAAGGAGTTTTAAATTTTGAAAAGTTAAGCGGCCTTCAGATTATCACAATAGATCCCCATTTTATGGCATATACTTTTTAAGTCATAGTTATTACGCAGAACAGCAAATGGCATAAACTTTGCAGAAAGTAGTTTAGTATGCACTCGTATAGCATTCATTCAAAACCCATAACATGAGAGGCTGCTGGGCTGTCTTTCTTTTTTTTAGATACGAAAAGCCATGGATCCACTTGGTTTAATTTACATTAAAATAAATATAGTTTTACCTACTTTATATGTATCAATAATTCATAAAATAAGGATAAAATTATTAAATTGATTATTTTTATAGTATTAATTTTAAAAGACTTCGCGGACCACTTGGAATGCTTCAAGGGACGAGAACTACTAAATACAACATGTCAATTTTCACTATTAACTTTGAGCTCTACTGACAACGCATTAAAGTTTGAAAGCGAGTGACAAATATTTGAAATCTGACATGTTGTGCCTATTAAGGAAACTATAATAAAGCAAAGCCGCAATAGGTAGATTAAGTAAATAACGTTAATACCAAACATGATATAAAAATAATGTCAAATCAGAATAAAATATGAATTGAAAAAAAAAAACTGGGTGAGATTTTAAGATTTTTTAAGGCTTACTAATGGGGCGAAATCCAAAAAAAAAAAGCTTTAAAAGGTAAATAGATTTTTTGGTATCTCACCTAAGTACACCACTGGCCAGCATGACGTAAATGCAGGTGATGTATATGTTGACGACGGCAGCTATCAAACCGTTCTTGACTATCATCATGACGGCAATAGCTTGCTGCTCACCGTATATGTAACACGACCAAAGTGCTAAAGCGAAGTACACGTAGTCTATGGTTTCTGTGATATCACCGAGGATCCTGTATGGAAAAAATGCGAATTATAAAATATACTATTTTTACAGCGTGTTTGGTAATACCTGTATAATCCCGAATATGGCACATACGGTATGATGAATAGAACCCAGAAAAATGATCACTAAGACTGAAACCCAGCACATGACCTAGATATTCAGTTTTTTTTCTTCGAAGTAAAACTGTACGCTGACAACCCTAAAAACAGCTGTTGTGTTGTATTTGGTCATCAACTCCATGTGCCGAACTAGTTTAAAAAATAACAGTAGTTAAATAAATCTAAAGATAAATGCCTAGAATAAATATGCATCTGAGAGGAATTTATTATTTCCAAACAAAGAAAAAGTTAGTAGTAAATGACTTTGAACTATAAAAAAACACTAATCTTGTGATTAACGGTGTTTCAAAAACTATTAATATGAAAACTTCTGTAATAATAAAGTCAAAATAAAAAAGAAATTGCAAATACTTTGATTGAAGTTCAATATCTGCACCATTGCTCACATTAGTCTATGCAAGAAGGAGCGACAGAGACATAAAATCGACGACGATGTGTATTGAGAAACTCGGGTTTCTGATGTGTCAGTAAGGTTCTGTAGATTAATAGCTTTGAAGTTTTGTTATTTTTTTCATAAAGCCGTGTTATTTTCACGAATCAATAAAATACGGACTTATACAATGATATGATATTAATAATCTAAGTATCTCGCTTATTCTCAGTTTAAATGATAATTAAATAAAGGTTAGTTGTAATGGAAAGGTCTAATAATAAATAATATTTCTTTTCTTTTCTAATTTAATCAATAATTTTTTATGCCTATAATTTTGTTAATGACTTGGTTTTAAATTAGGTAACCACTTTTAATATTATGGCCTTTTTTTCTTTTGTAACCGTGAAAAGCGTAAATAAAATTGTAATAATAAGTAAACAGCCTAATTATTAATTTCGTCAGTAAAAAATAGTATGATAAGTTACTTTGAAATTTCATTGTTTAATTCAATAAAAAAATAACGATTTTTTGTTAGGTAGGTTACGTAACACAGAATTTGATGACGCGGAACCCCAAAATCGGTACACTTTTGATTTAGGTACATTGGTGTTCGAGTTGCAATAATAATAACCTATGTAGTTTTGGTCATCGCGTCAGTCGCGTCCGTGACTTTCATCGGCGTACTTGTGAGTTTTCAGAATTTAGGTCAACTTACGTTTTCGTTCTTTCGGGACTTTTGGTTTGTTTTTCATTCTCGTTCTGTTTACCTGTGTATTATGTTTGTGTGCGGTCAGTGCAATGAATTCGTACTCAAATGCCTAATATTACGACGTCGACATCTTCCTTCTTACCGGTGATTCGCGGCATTTGTGAATTGGTTACATACAACTGATTCATTCCATAGTGTGCCACAGGTAGGCCGGCCGACCACCTATTCCATCGAGACAGAGGATATGACTTTACGTCGAGAGTAACACGAGACGGTCTGTGTCGAGTGGCCGGCATATCGAGACCCTGGACTGATAAAATGGAGGTGAAGTGTAGGTAATGTTGACAAGTGAAAGCTGAAAGAGTGATTAGAACGCTATAGGTATGTACCTATTTAATCTTAAATTGTTTTAATTACAAGTACTTAAACTCATACGAGTGCGCGCGTCGGCAACATCAAAATGTATTCAAGGAAACGAGAGAGTGAGAGGTAATGGGAGAGAGAGAGAGAGAAAGAGCGAGTGCACCGGGACGGCACGTGTAAGCTTACAGGATTGTAGCATAGTAATAGAAAACAAATTGTTCAAATATTTGTATGAAAATATCATTTTACATGAAATTGTTTTTTGACCTATCAATTGTGTTCTTTGTGCTAGGTTGTATGGCCATGTTTCGGGATTATACAGGTATTACCAAACACGCTGTATATTAAAATAAGTTTATTTCATAAAATTAAAAGATTTTTAAAACCAGCTTTAATTTACAGCCAGTTGCATAAACGTCCATTAAAATTGTCTAAGTTAAAATGACGTTACCCATACTAATTTGACATTCATTAAAACTTAAAGACGTCATTAAACCGTAATGGACGGTGTGCAACTAACCGTTATTGTATTGTATTCTACAAGTTAAAGCCTTTAATTAATACCCATATCGGCTCCATTGTTCAGAAATATGTACGCCGCCATTTTGTTACGGCGGCCATTTTGTATTAAAAATAATACCGATCATATGTAATTGCCTCGTCATCAGAACGGTTGCAAGATATGATTACAGAAAAACAAATATCGCACAGGTGAAAATAAATAAAAGCTCGTAATAGATTACAATACATAAGTTACATAACACACGTCAGGTTACCTGCTACAAAAGGTTCAACTTCGATCGATTTAAAGCCTTAATTTGTTGGAAGTTAAGATCAAAATTAATTGCGGCACTTTTTGTAGTAATACACGAGCCTGCAGCTCATGTTCAACAAGTAAAAGAAAAAGTAACATCTTGGTACGAAATCAAGTTGATTGCCCTAAACACAGAACAATGGATATTACTCCACGGACAAAACTAGATCCGATGACATTTTTAGGATTCCGTACCCAAAGGGTAAAACGGGAACCCTTTTGCTAAGACCGTTGTCTGTCTGTCCGTCAGTCACCAGGCAAATTTTCACAGACTATGTATTTCTCTTGCCGCTTCAACAACAAAATTCTAGAAACCAGAATAAAACAAATATTTAAGGGGGCTACCATACAACAAACGTGATTTTTTGCTCTTTCCGGTATGGAACCCTACGTGCGGGAACCGACTCGCTGTTGGCCGGTTCCTTCAGCTCTATAAGTATTTCACCTCTATGTACTTACGGATATACAATGGCAGCGGATGCGAATGTGGTGATGAATGAGAATACCAAAGAGACCAGATTCCAGGAGAGAAGGAGACTGGCGCCGCTATACAGGCCCTCCTGGGATTCTTGATAGTAGCGGGTGCGGTATGGACCAACTGGGGTTGAAATGAATTGTTTTTATCACCGAAACACTAGACTTACACGAAGGTTATCTTTCCGAGGTCTCGGGTTCAATCTCAGTTGTGTTAATTGAATGTAAAAATAACCTTAATTACCAATATTATATGAAAGATTTTGGTAAATACAATCTTGTCCAATAAATACCTAATTTGGGCCATAAACGGAGCAAGCCGCTGTGATTTAGTGTGGACTGGTCCTATCGAGTAATATGTAGTCGAGACCAATGGCTTATGGACACGGAGTAGGTCGAAATAATAAAACTTTTGGTCACCGATCCTATGAGCGGCCTTTGCGAAAGTTACTCAGTACCCGCAATGACAGAAGCAACTGTGCTTTCGAGATAAATGTACTTACATAAACATATCGTGTTCATAATGCTGACGAAATAAGTGCCGACCATAGCATTAAATATGAGTCCACTTTTTGTAATGAACGCTCTCTGGTAATCCTATAAACAAACAGTCATTACTCAACTAATGTAATTAATCAATTAATACAGGTGTAGACAGTAAACGGAAATACACATTTTTTTCTGGTATTATTTAATATACTATTACGATAATCACATACTTATTATATATTAATTTTTATACTCATTGTTAAGTGACCGCAAACAGCGTGTGAGGTCACGACCCTCTTACTAAATTAGAACTTGGGTAATTTAACCTTATGCATAATAGAACGATATTAGTTTCAGAGGACCGTGACTTCATAGCGACGCCATAATAGAAGTTATTAAGTAAATTTATTATTGGATTTTATTAACTTATTAAACGAATAAGTTTAAAGTCGATACTTAAAATATATGCCCACACCCCTATTGAAAAAATAGTCAATTACTACATTTGCCTTACCTTCGCTTCATTGTAAAATATCCATAATATCAAGAAATATAATGGAAGTGAAAATAATCGCATAAACATCTGTTTCAATCCATTTTTCTTCAAGTTGAATATTGAAACTAACATACGCCTGAAAAGAACATTACAGTTTTTAAAACTGATACTTATTTGAAAGACAATGACGAACAATATCTATAATTTGAACGCAGTATTGTTTTATGTATTTATAGCTTATTTAATTATTTTTATTGATATTTCTCGAGTATTTTTTAGCTTGCTACATATTTAGTATCTGTGGTATGTTTAAACCGCCTCGCTAGATTTTCTTTTTAAAACATTCGGAATAGACGGTATAAGAAAATCCTATAAAAATTATCGTCAATTCATTATTTAACTTTAAATGGCAATGCTCTCACTTTTTTTTACATTGTGCCTTATAAATAACTATATAATCGAAAAAATCTGATTCTTAAATCCTACTTTACATATTTTAAAACCGAAAGCAGTCAAGTTCCTGATTTAAATTATGTACATTTTACATCTACCATTAGGAGCCATCCATTATTCACGTGATGCTTTTCAGCATTTTTTAACCTTTCCCTCGCCTCTTGGTGGTGGAGAGGTTTAAGAGTAACCCTGAATCACGTGTATTTTTAGTATCTATTAAAAATTCTTAATTTTTGACGCCGCTTTTCGGTTTAATAACCGCACGTCTGGGGAAAATACATACACGTGATATATAACTACATCCCCCATCCCCCCTTGTGATATTTCGTGATTATTTACGAATCCCCTTCCTCCTTTTCGAGCCTCACCTGATTGATGGATGGTACCTAACGGCATTCGCTTCAAAATACCTATATCAATATTATCCGGGACATATACTCACACATAGAGCATCCATACGACCTGTACTCCACCAGGTTTCCCGTACGCCTTATTGGGGTTCACGATGCGACTATGCTCCCCCATATGGCCTTGCATTATACCCTGCCCTTCTAGTTTGAACTTCTCCACTAACGCCGCGATCTGATGGTTAGATTCTATGAACCGTTCGCGAGACCTTCTGTCCACCGTTGATAGACATACTGGAAAAACAAATTATATGAAAGTGAATTAAGCGCTTCATTATCAGCCTTTTTACGTCCTCACTGCAGGGACTCAGGCCTTCGTTATGGATGGTTAAGGAACGGGCCTTGACCCTCAATGCTGGCTTAATGTGGATTGGAGGGTAATAGGTAGGTACGACTTTAAAAATTGATTTTCCTTTGAGATTTACGAACCTAGACGATACGATATTGATATTTTGATAAATATTTTTAGATTCCACCGTTTTGTTAGTTTCTTAATTCATATAGAATGATTTTGGCCTGTTTGCTTTACTTAAAAATCTTCAAAATTATTTAGGTGAAGCCTAATGTATCTATAGCTCAAATGAAGTATTTTGTAGATCTAAACATTATTAAAAAACCAAGAACCTCATATACTTCAATTAAATTAAGGTTTACTTACAATAATACATGAGCGGGTTCTCCAGCTGTGGGCAAGGGAAACCGATGCTGCCGAAGTAGTCGAGCAGGTTTCTGGTGGGTCCCGCGTACACCACGTCTCCGAGACATAAATACACCACTCGGTCCAAAAACGGGAACACATCTGAAAAAAAATTAAATATCAAATTTTCCAAAAATTAAAAAGTTCATAAAAGTTTTATATATTTAGACGATCTCAGAGAGTAATTATTATATTTGTGTTGAGATGCCTAGCTTTTAGCCTAATACCAGTAACAATCTTGGTATAATTATTGAACAGTACGTACTGTAACGACCGTGCACATTACTATAGGTAGGTTTACTCTCTGGTCGATTTATGGTAAATGCTGGCCGTTAATATTTTGAATTATTACTTTTTCGTGTTCGAATACGCGGGTTCGTGTTTTGCTGGTTGATAAACTTGCTTTGCTCTCTCTGATCGAGCCCGACATCGAGGCAGTATCTTAAAATTTAGTTGTAATTGATTTGATGTATTATTTGCAAATGAAATCGAGAGTTAGAAGAATTACACAAGGATTTCATTGAACAACCATTAGAGTACTTAGTAGGTACTTGAAATTGTTTAATAATAAAATCAACTTTGCTTTACTATTAAAATACAGAGTGTTTAACGGCGCGTTAAAACAGCGAAGTTACAGTATAGAACTTTAATAAAATTAAATCTTTATTACCTTTTGGAAAGGTATTATTTGAATAGACCTCTAATACTGTGACGGCGGTGTGTTCGACGCTGTATTTTTAATAGAGCAGCACTGCTTAGTTAGCATTTTTAACGTTAAACAGATGGACAAGACAGACTGATTCTAAGAAAATTCATAAAAGACACCTACATAACAACAAGTCTAACGCTCGTATCTATAGTCGAGTAACAAAAGGAATAACTTGAGTAAAAGTAATTACTTAATCAAATATTTTTAACAAATATACAAGAATTTAAATGAAATAGAAATTGTTAATAGAAAGAATGCTATTATTGAAAGCTATTAACAGTTGTTATGTCATTTAAATTCACGTCTATGGGTTAGAAAATTTGTTTAAGTTATGTAATTTTCTCAAGTAATAACTTCTCTCTACTATACTTCTCTATACGATTGTAAGAATAATTTTAGTATTCTTGAATTTAAATACCTTAGATATTGACTAATCATATAGGTAGCCGCATTCTTTGTTTACAGGTATAATTAATTAATTATTACAATATTTGACCTATGTTAAACCATAATAATAATCGCATTCGTTTAAATTTCAACAAAATTATCTGTCAATAATTATACAAGTATTATTCAATATTTAAACGAATAAACAGAATCTAGTGACCTATTTGCATGTTATTCGCAGACAACTGTTTAAATTGTATTAACAAAGAAAGTCGGCATATAAATAGATTTCTTTTTTTTTGTTTAATTTACTGTCGAAAATTAGCATAATAACGCGTGTTAGCTTCGAAAGTAGGTAAATTTGTGGCGCCATTATTGGAAAGAGTCCAAAAAATAACTAAGGTACTTATCAGTGGCGTAACTATACCGTTTGAGGCCCGTGGCAAATTCATCGGATATTCATTTTTTTTTTTACTAATTGGGTAATAATAAATGTCAGGAGTAAGGAGTCTCCTCTGACCGGGGGCCCCCTTCCAGCTGGGGGGAGCCACCCTCTAGTTACGCCACTGGTACTTATAATAGCTAGGTACGAAGTGTATTAGTTTCTATAGTAATGTCCAATGTCTATTTATATAGGTTCTTCTTTTTATAAAATTGTAAATAGATTAATTAATTGAAACTTAAGTAAAACCCATCACTAGTCTATTAATTCCCCCCTGCTGGGGCTCAGGCTTTCCCTACGGATGGAATCGAATAGGGAGAATGGGCTCTGTGCAGATCGGTGGGTATTACAAACTGCAGGTGTAGCCGGGACTACCAGCTAAACGTGCCTTACGAAGCACGAAGGAGCTGACGTAATAAATTTGTGGTCACCTATCCTATGAGCAGCCATAGTGAAATTTGCTTAACAAAATATCGGAGACTGGCTGCGCTAATTGTTGAGACATCGACCTTCTCTCAGCTCATCTATAGGTATTATTTGACATTTCTGGAATAAGTGCTAATAACAAACACATTAGCTATAGTATTCTGTTAAAAAAGCACCAAGAATTTCGCAATCAAGTGCAGTAGCACGGCAAAAAGCTTTAATGACATGAAATTTTTATGACCTTTCAAGTAAGTACATTTTAGTTTATAGAACCTCTTTGCTATGCTATGACAGCGTTGTTTTTATAACTGAATATACACTGCTGATGTGCTGCATACAAGAAGTACTTGCCTGATCGAGGTTTTTCCATAGTCAATATGATGGCGGTACCATATTTTTTCGCAGCGTTAGATAGTATGGATATCACTAGATATGTGCTTAGTGGATCGAGGTCCCATGTTGGCTCATCTAGGAGCAATATAACTGAAAAAAGGAGACGTAAAGTAAATATAAAATCAACATACACAATATAGGTATTTGGTCAGTAGCGGCACAAGCCCTATTAATGTGGACAAGTTAGATTTAGCTTGGTTCTAGAATAGCGTAAAAAGAGCCATTATTGAAAATGTTATTTTTTTTTATAAAAAAGGTATATCAAAAAATCGCAATTCAAATTTCGACATCTTGGCCCGAGGCTATGTCGCCGGTGGTTCGTTTTTTTGCTCAAACGAGATGAAAAAGATGTTTTGTTTTTCAAATCGTAAGTAGAAGTTACTAAGACTTGAAATAACATATATAAAGACCATATTTTCAATCATCAAATGTTGATGAGAAAGAAATTTAGAAAGTTTTGTATGTGAAGGAGACATTTTTCAAAATTTTGAAAAATGTCGGCGAACGCTATGATATCTTTCTAGAGGAAATAAAAAATAGTACTCACTGGGATCTCGAATAAGCTGGACCCCAATAACTAATCTTCGATATTCGCTCTTTGTCAAGTTTGTGACACATTTATTAGCAACCTGAAAATATTATCATTAGTAAATCTTCAAGCGATTTTACTACAAAATATTGAGTTCTTTAGTTCAAATAGTTTTGGTCTTGTGTATGAAGTATTTATAAAATGGGAATGATCAATATTCATTTTAATCTAACCTTATATTATTGTCTAGAATTTATGAAAAGTAAAGTTTATTCAACACGGTTGATGTCTGGGTAGAAAAATGTTTTGTTTTTTAGACAGCCAGATATGTCTTAGAAAAACATTAGATTCGTTTTTTTACTTCAACTTAACAAGAAATGATCTAAACCATTAAACCATAGGCTTTGTTGGTTGTCGGTCCAAGTGTAGACGGGGTGGCTCGTTACTTAACAACTATGTAGAAAATGCACAAAGATATGACTTCATGCGAGATTTAACTCAATGTATCTTTGTAATTTATTGATTACGCAAAAAATAAAATAATACGGGTTAAATATTCTTTTAAAAAATTAGACATCGTCCATATTGTTAAGCGACGTCTTATTAGATTTTTTTACCTGTGATAACGCCAAGTCTGCCATAACTTGTTTCACTTTTGACGATTTAAGATAACCCGATATCTGCAAAAAATAATGTTTCTGAAATTCAAATGTAATTCAATTTACATTCATACTAAGCGTAAAATGAGGGTGGAAATCAATGGGTAAAATGAGGCAGTATAATCAAGAGATTACACAAAATTTTTAAAATATAGTAGTGGTCAAAGCAGAGTGTTGCACGGGATATTTGCCGATATATGGACATTGGAGGATTGATGACCCAAAATTAATTGTCTAGAACTGTTTCGTGTTTCTCTCCTGCGGTTGTTAACTCCTACTAATCCCGATTGGGCTCGCGTGGTGGATTATTTATTACCCGTTTTCTATATAAGATTATGATACTGAAACTTTACAACAAATATTATTTGATTGATAATGTACTATATCATCATCAGCCCTTTTACGTCCCTACTGCAGGGGCTCAGACCTTCCTTTATGGATGGTTGAGGAGGATGGGACATAATCCTCCAACTTGACCCAACGCCGAATGGAGGGTATTATCAACTGCAACTGGCTTAACGTGCCATCCAAAGCACGGCGTAGCTCGAGATAATTGTATGAATATGAATGAAATAACCCTTGCGAAAGTTACTTAAGGACGACAATTGCGGGCCGTGGTGCTTATCTACTACGCTACCAAACTAGATGTACTATTTGGATTACGATTTTTTTCTTGTCATTAGTAACCTTGGTGAGTGAGAGTGCCAATGTCTGCTGTACTGTGAGCCCCGGTAACAGCTTAGTGGAGTGGCGGACCAAGGCGCATGTGTTGTTGAACTGATCTTCTTCGAGAGGAACTCCCTCGAGTAAGATGTGACCTTTGGACGGCACGCGACGGGCTATCACGTCGAGCAGAGCTCGCTTACCACTACCTGGAAATAACCATATATTTTAATACGAATTCGAGTATTTAATATCATAAATACATTTGAAACCACTTTATTAAAAAAAAAAAAAAACACTACTACCAAAATCAAATTAAAAATAAGAAAAAAAAGTTGTATTATGGTTTGGCTAAACAGACCTGTGATTCTATCCGAATTCACAAGACATAGGAATAAAATATCTAAGACAAAGAATGGAATCAATAGAATTTTTTCACTTAATGATGGAAATTCCGACACATGAGTGAATTCTAATTCGGGTATGGATTTTTACAGAATCGGAGGGCTGATTTCTCATTGCATATAGAACCGTTCTGTGGACAACATTTGTGGGTAACATTTCTAATCAAAAAGGTCTCCCGACTGCAAAGAAATTTAGTTTAGCCAAGTCATACTACAACTTTTTTTTATATATATTTATTATGGTATGTTCTTTACCTTTAGATCCGAGGATAGCCGTGACCTCCCCGCTGTGTGTCGTAAACGACACATCTTTCAATATGACCCCAGTTTTTACACCTCCAGTTAGTCGCTGAAAAAAGCTCCCCGGCTCCACCTACACAAAACAAAAATCTCAATTAGGCTTGTGTCTTCCAAGTGAAAATACAAGTTTCTGTTATACGTTGGGAATATATGAACCATTTTAACTTATAAGTATTCAACAAAATATTTTCGAAAACTTGAAAATAGTAAGAAAAATATACTATAAAAATTTAGTAAAATACATGTGGCATTAAATTAGATAAATAAAACGTTACAACTTTCATTATAAAACTATAAACATTAACGCACATATTACAAAGATTGCCCAGACGCCCATACGTTTTTCGCTTCCGTAGCACCGTATGACGTCATTTAGTGCCTTCAATTTGTATGGAGCGTTTTTGGCCGACTAGCAGCAGTTCCAAAAACACAGCACCATATTACCAAAATTAATCGCAGATATACTGTTACTTCTACATTATTTCTCAGATATTAAAGGGCTATTTATTTATAAAATAAAAAAAAGTTGTCAGCTATTAATCAATGCATGTAAAGGTTATACATGATCCTCTTAGGCCCAGCTCTACATGTTCAACCGAGGCACCCCACGCGTTCTTGCGGCGGCGCCTTATATTTTATAACCGCGACTTCGCCCGCGTGGGCTAGTTTTAAATTCAGAAATGAGAAAATTCCATAAAAACTCATCCCCTAATTTACACGTAAAATCCCGTCTTAGTGAGCACCTACACCCTAAATAGAACCCGCATACAAATATTGAAACTCCTAGCACTTGTAGTAACGAGATTTCATGCAAACTTTCATCCCTCAATTTTAAATGTTTTCTGCGCTCCCCCCTAGATTTCAATAAAATTCATAAACAAAGATTAACCGGTGAATAAAAATATTTCAACGGAAATATTAAAAGGAAATCTAATTAAACAGTTGCCCGTAGGTGTCAGACTCATATTTTGATTATTTTTTGTAAGTTTTATAAATTATAATATAAATTATATTATAAATTGAATTAGTTGAAAACTTCTTTTGCATTTATCCTATGATCTGTTTCACATAGCATGGGTACGGAGACGTTTGGGATTAAAAAGTTTTTAGTGATGTGGCAATCAAAATATATATACAAAAATTCGATATTATTAAGTTCATTTCTAATAGTGGTAATCATTTTTTGAGATCAATGTATAAAACAGGATTTAAGCCGAGTCAAATATTAAATTTTATTATAGTTAAGTTTAATTGTCACAGCAACAATAATTAATAATAATAAAAAAATATTACAGAATACATATTTCGATTAAAACGATTTTATTGATGCAATCCCTATTAAAAATGTAGCATATAATCAATATGTGTAATGTAGCACATATTGATGTTTTAAACTTTAGAGGGTTAACTTTCAGTAATTATGGCTATTAAAAATTTATTTGTGTTTTATTATGCTAGTTTAAACAAATTTCTTATATGTACATAGGCAAACTATTTTTCATAACGATTGTTTTAAATTATTTAGAAATACAAATTGCGTGAAATGGACTTGTTATCAAACGTCACCGTACCCGTGCTATGTGAAACGGCCTATAATACTATTACGGCCTATAATACTATTACGACCTCAAAAACCGAGCTATTTGTTAGGTTGCGGGTTCGATTACCGGTCGGATCAATGAACTTCTTGAAATAAAAATTTAAACCCGAATTTTTGCATTTTTATAAAGTATAGTTTTAAAGTAGGTTCAGTTACGACCAAAATCTTATTAACTTTGCCCAGTTAAAAACTTCGTAGCACCGATCTTTAAAAAACATCGTATAAATGACCAGATATATCAGTAAAAATCACAACTATTCCCATAATAGGAATACATTCAACAACACAAAATGATTATATATGTTAAACTGACACAAATTTTACAAAATGTAAATCTTAACTTTGCTGTGTATACAAAAGATATCAACGAGCCACTGCTACTGATGAAAATCGTAAATATGACCAACTTTTTATTTGCTATTTAATTGTAAAGATTTTACGTCAATCTTATTTAAAATTAGTTTAATTGCAATTTTATTTTTAAGCTGGTTCACCTTTCAATAAGTATAAAGCTACATAATGTATTACACATACACAAACAAAAGTAATTACACAAAATACTCACTTGTCCAGAGTGATAAACATTACACAATTCTAATGTATACTCCGTTGCTAGCATCTTGATACAATTCATATGCAAAATACTATTTAAATAACATAAATTATAAACAATTTAATAAACAATAACAAATACATTCAACACATCCACCGCTCTCTATAATTTTCGCAAACTATTTTTATGTTGTTAACTTCAATACCGAGTGTTGTAATAAGCGACGTTGCCAACTGTATGTGAACGAACTTCAGGCCTTAAGCCTCTGTTTAATTAAGATGTTATTGGAAAATGAATCGTATGTTAAATACATTAAGTGTAGAATTAAACAGCGAGCAACGAATCTAATGTTTAAGGTTCAGATCTTTCATAATTTATAAATACTGTTTACAAACTGTGTGATAACTCTTTTGATTGTTTATAGGGTGATGTTAGTTTCAAAAAATAATAATTAATACTTCATATGATCCTTAATGTGAGTTGTCAAAAGCAAAACTGTAAGTTGGAGTTTAGGCAACAATGTGTACAAATTATTTGTATATCGGAAATTTTGTTTAAATAACTAAAAAAAGATATTTGAAAAGTAAAAACTTTAAATTGATTTTACAAATTATATATAAAAAAATATATATTATAAAGGAGAAAGTTTGTAAATTTGGATGTTAAATACTTCATCATGCAAAAACTAATGAACAAATTTTGATGAAATTTGGTATACGGATAATTATAATTAACATATAGACGACTTTTTATCTCACTAAACTGTTTCCTGAAGACCACGCGGGCAAAGCTGCTGGCGGAAAGCTTGTATGTTAAATAATATATATATATATATATATATATATATATATATATATATATATATATATATATATAATAAATTTAATTTTAAGCAAATTTGTGTTATACGTCGCCTTAACCGCGAAAGCCTGAATTATCTACGCATCGTTGTCAAGTGTACTCACCGTGAACCATCCAAAGGCTGTCAATGTTTCTTTTTCTTTCACTCGCGTAGTAAAACTTGCTCCATTGGTGAGAGAGCATTAAACACAGTAGCCATAAACGTTTAGTGCATTCCTCTGATTATCTGTCTCTTTCACATATACTGTTCAACAGTTTGTTAGAAAGGGTAACGAGAACATGCGCAGTGTCACTGACTCAGTCCGGCCGTGTATCGTCCGGAGGCAAAGGCCTATAGCGCGCTTGCCAAACAACTACCCTATCGCTAATAATCGAAACTTTAAAAAATAAAAACGAACGAAAGATACCGAATTGGAAAATTTGAATTACGTTCGAAAAACAAACGATACGTTTGTTTTAGTGTTGTTCGAAGTGTAATTTTATTTTTTTATGTGATAAAAGGTGTTTCTTAGTGGCAGTTCTGGAATCGTGTGGTTGTGTAGAGGAGTCCCGTTGGCCGTTGTTTTATCACGTAAGTTGACTGGAGTTGGAGCGAGTTTGTTATTTGTGTAGGTGGTGTTTTAGAGGCCATGGAGAAGGTATCTGGGTGTTTGGTTAAGCCCGGTTAGTGGAATGAAGGCCGTGTAGGTTACACTGTTTGGATGTGCACGGATGTTTAACAGAACGTGACTAGAACTATATATATGATGAACAGGGTACACACGGTAATTTTTATTGTTCATCTGCAATTTTTTTATAATTACTAAGCTAGCACAGAATAAAACAAATCTGGAATTATTTACTCGAAGACAACCCTATTAATTTAGTCCTGTGGTCGAAGGGACAGCACACTGGTTTCAAAACTTTCGATACCTCTTGAAGTCCCGAGTACAGGATCCGTACTCGGGATCGGTAGGGTCAATGTAGAAAATGAATTGTTCTATATTGTTTCGGGTCAGGATGTACTTTCGTTGTTTCAGATTTTCAAAACCAGTTAATTTGTTTGGCATAAATGGTCTAATTGAGTAATTTTAAAATCTGTCACAATACCTTCAATCGCTTTTGGAACGAATGATGATTTGAATAATCAAGATACAATATAAACTTACATAAAAAATATTTTTTATGACATTTCTGAATAGTTTACTTTCTCAGTATTTGCATCTAAAGTTTACCTTAACTTAATGTTACATAACGTCATATTAACGATATCGTTCATTCGATATGTTTCAAAAAATGTCGCGATTGCAATCGCTACCACATGTCAAATAGTTGTAGCGTGAAGTTGTGAAAAAAATTAGAATTAGACATTTAGGCCCCTGAAGTACTTAAGTGATGTCTCATGTTTATTATTTTATGTTTATACCGATAGTTTAACCACAAGATTAGAACAAGTCAGTAAACAGTAGGATGTAATGCAACCAAGCATGGTATGAAATTAGCATATCATAATATATTAATATCCACGCTCTACCATGTAACTGACGCTCTGATTGATCTGTCTAATGAAGGATCGGTCTAACATTAGACAGACGAATTCTCATTTGTGTGATCAAAGTTAATCTGCCAGCTAAATTATTACTAACAATTAACAAATAAATATTGGTTTTTCCCTTGGCTAATTTTAAGAATATTAAGCTTCGCGCTCTCTATAATTTATGCCAATCAATAACCTTCGTATCTAAAGTCGGACTAATACATTCAAATTCTCGTATATTTTTTTAAATATTTACTTAATTTTTAATATTTTCTCAAGTAATTAGGATGTTGCCGACAGCCTTATCATGTTTTTGGAATAATAGGAGGCTTTTATGCGTACTTATTTTTTTTTATTTTCGTCACTTTTTGTTTATTGGCTGTACTTTTTCAAACTTTTCTTACTTTGTATCTTGTGCTTTTATAAATTATTTCTTTGCTAAATTATGTCTTTATTAATTAGGTACAGTTCACCGTTTTTGCTTTCAATAACATTGCTTCTCTCAATTATAGATGCGAGTGTTAGAGTACATACTAGTATAGT